AAAAAAAACTAAGTAATATTGATAAAAGCAGAAATTAATGGAAACGAAAAGTAACATACAACAGAGAAGATTAACAAAAACAAAATTTAAATCTTAAAAAAAGGCTAAACACTGTCCCTCTTTAAAGATTATATAGGAGGTCCAAAAGAATTTACAAATAATTATAAGAATCATTAGAGTTTAGTAAGTTTTTAGATACAGAAGCAATACAAAGACATCAATTATATTTTATACTAACCAACAGTTAAGAAATGAAATGGCTAAGTCATTCGGTTTAACATACTTATTTGAGAATATTTACAGAAGTTAGACAAAATGTATTTCAAAAATGTTGGGAAAGTATCAGAGTTGTCAGTAAACAATTATCAGGCTAATATCTTGGAAAAATAGAACTTCCTTAAGGTGAGCCCTTTGTTCCTTAAGGTGAGCCCTTTGTTTGTTCTCTGAGAACTTTGGGAAATTTATAAGAGTCCACTGAGAAGGTGAGCATAGCTAAGGGGCTAGGGATCCAAAGATTGAATCTAGTGCCAGCCAAGAGGTGGGTGCCCTATTAACCCCAGCCCACACTTTGCAACCCTTCTGGATTGTAGGAGTAAGGGTTAACAGGAAGAAAGAGCACTACTACAGTCTACAGTTCAGCTCTGTGTGACATGGATGACTTAGAAAATCTCAGTTTCTAAAACTGAGTAAAAATGATCCCAAACTACTAGTGCCTAAGTATCTGGTAGAGCATAGAAAAAAATTCTGTAGAGGATGAAAATGATCATACTGGGCATCAAATTGCTTCTACAATTTTTCAAATACAGTGTTGGCATACAGTAAAAAATAGACATACAAAAATATAAAAAATGAGGATTAGCAGAAACAAAAGAAAAATAAAAAACAAGACCAAGAGAATTTCAGATTTGGGAATTATTAAACACAGATTATAAAATAATAGGGGGTTTTCATGTTCATATAGTTATAAAGACTGAAAATTACAGCAAGACAATTAGAAACTGCAAGAGTGACAGATTTCCATATTTGCAAATAGAAATTTGAGAACTGAAAATACAAAGGGCTAAGAATAACCAAGACAGTCTTACTAGTCTGCCAAATATAAAAAACAATATATTAGCTGTAGTGATGAAGACAATAGACAGCACAAGTATAGAAAAGGAACAAAACAAATCAGAAACAGATACATATATATCAATATCAGAGCAGGGTAAAAGTAGGTTTACAGTCGTTTGTATGAAAAATAATACAATAAATAATAATACAAAAATAAACTGTGTTTCGTGTATGCACAATTGAGAAATAGGACCTCTCTATTGCTCAGGAAAAACTGTTATCTCTTAATTTTTAAGATATAAATACTCTATGACCAAGCAATCCCATTTCTAAGTTATACCTGCACTAGGAGATACACATAATAATGTTCATTGGGAACTGTGATTGCCCCAAACTAAAAACATCAGAATTGTCTGCAGTCAATAGAATGAATAAATTGCGGTATGTTACTGTAAAGTTAAATTATACAATAATGATGAATGAAGTATAGCTACAGGCAACATGAATGAATTCCTTGTTCAATGAAAGCAGCAGCCACAGAAGAATATAGTATGGTTCCATTTACATAAAAGTTCAAAAGCATCAAAAAGTAAATGGTATTGTTTAAGTATGACATAGATGGTAACACTAAAAATAAATACAAATGACTTATCACAGGAGGGAGGGTGGTATTATTGCCAGAAGCTCTGTGGGGAGAAGCTGGCTTTTTAGGAAGGGACTACAGGGGAGTTTCAGGCTGCTGTCAATGTTATATTGATTTGTGAGCTAGCTATATAAATAGCTACCTTAAAATGATTCCTTACACTATGTATTTATATTTTATGTACTCTTTTGAATATATTTTTTGAATATTTGTTTCTCAATTAAAAACAACAAAGATAGGACATAGCATGACAAAAATAAACACAAATTACCTTCTTCATTAGCTACTATGATCTCTAAGATCTCAATGTCCTATTGAATTTGTTAAAAGTAAAATAGCCAAACTCATACCTAGTGATTCTATACTGAGTAATTATATAGTTAATAGAGGCCCGGTGCATGAAATTCATGCACTAGGGAAGAGCCTGTGCCCTCTTGCAGTCTGCAGTCTGGGATTCCTCACTCCTTACCACTTGGCTTGCTGCTCCTCTGCACTGCTGTGGAGGCGGGAGAGGCTCCCACCACCGCTGCTCCCCTCTGCGGGAGCACTGACCACCAGGGGACAGCTCATGCATTGAGCATTTGACCCCCTGGTGGTCAGTGTGCATTATAGCGACCAGTGGTTCTGTTGTAATGGTTACTTAGGCTTTTATTATATAGATGATTACAATGAATTTTTGATAATATTCATTATGAATTATTAGGTCAAAGGTTGTTTTTGTTTTTTCTCTCTCAAAATCTCAAGAGAACAATTTTCTTGTCTTCATTTTACTAATTATAAAATCGTGAACTTAAATGATACACATCTATTTTCAAGTTCTACCTTTGGAACAATTTAAAAGAACTTATAGATAAATTAACATAACTGCTTTGATCTCTAAAATGGACATTAGAAATTTGTAGCTAATAGTTTGGGACTTGGCAGATCTTCTGGGTTTTATATGGTCACCATCATTTACCCCCAATTGTTTTAATAGAATTTCCAGGTGCCAAAAAAACTTTGAAGTAATGTCCCTTCACATCCAGTGACTGTTGTATCTCCGTGACTGCAAAATTTGAAAATTAGTAAACATCAAAGCAACATTTCCCACAAAATAAATAGTAAAATTGGAATCTCTGGATTTACAAAGATATTGTCAAATTTCTTTCTTTCTTTCTTTTTTTTTTTTTTTTCAAATTTCTTTAATTTATTTTTATTAAGTAAAAAATTACTCAGTGGTACCATACAAAAACAAATAATTAATTTTTGCACCTGGTATTGCAATCATCAATAATAATATCATAGTACAGAAATAAACTAGAGAATGAAAAAAAATTATCAGTACTTTACCTTGGCTTTCTAGCTTAGTAGAACTAAACAGAAGAAATTAATAGCAATAACCATTAACTACAGAGAAAAAAAAAAAAGCAACGACAAAAGGGTTTCAGGTTTAATCCTGTTGATTTTGTTTGTATCTGCTAAAGTACTGGTCTCTATAAATAAGAATTGAGAGCACGTTCTAAATTTACTTTGTTAGAGATTTGGAGATTTATATCAAGTGATAAGCAAGCTGTTAGATCATAGTTGACCTATTAAATGGCTACAAGGAAAATATCAGTTATTATCATGGAGCACAAAACAATATAAAAGTGGGAAAAGGCTTCTTAGAGAAAAGTACTTTTATTATTCCCTATAAAGTTCTAAGTCATAGAACTCTGATGTTTCTGGATTCAATTTTAAATAACATTAATTTTAAGCATTACATTTCTAATAAGCACAATTGGATAGGGTAGGATACGAGGAACCAAAAATTGCTTATTTCAAAGGTAGCCATTTCCTATAATTCATCCTGCCTACTTTTCTCTACCTCCCAATGCACTGATTATCTATGTTAGCCATACAATTTCACCCTCTACTCCTAAAGAAATTTATTTTCTCAACTGGATAATACTTTTACAAAAGAATAAAATAATAAAGCTGGTTGATAGTCATTTAAAGTATTTGCAAATAAAATAAAAGTTAAGTTGAAGATATAAAAATATACCTAACTAGAGTAATACTGATGTAAAATTAGTTTATAATTTATCAAAGTACCTACTAGTGGTCTGAACAGGGGAGCAGAAGAAAAGCAGCTAGAGGAAAATGAGTTTAGTGGGTCAAACTTGCTTTAGAATACACGGTAGTCTTAGAAAAAAGAAACACTTGCTGTTTTCATTGAGTTTACAGTGTTGAGTATACTTTATGTCATTTTAATGATAGCATTTATATGAACATATGCAACAGCTCACAGCAGAAAACAAATTTTTTGTCATAAAAAAACCTAAAAAAATAAATTTTTATTTTCATCAACTCCCTTTCTGGGAATGCAGAATAAAACAATGTTTCTTTTTAACATAAAATATTAAATTATTCTTTCCTGTCCATTAGGTTGCTGGTGGGGGGGGGGGAATCCAAGACTCAACTAATGATAATTTTTTAATTTCTAGTTTTCATCTACTTCTAAAAAACACTCCCTTCACAAGACCTTTTAATCTTATATGCTATGACAATCAGGTCTAGAATTCCAAATAAATAAAAAGGCCACATGAGAAAGCATACTGAAGAATCAAATGATTAGCTACATCTATTCACATTCACAGATTCTCTAAGAGGGTTGTTAGAGTCCATGTAATACAGTTAACATTAGTCATCTGACCTACTGCTCATGGCTTACAACACTAATGCTAAAAACAAAGATCCTGACTTTTGGGAGATGGTGACATAACAAACTCTGGTTAAACTAGCAGAGGTAATAGAACAGTAAACTGCAACTGTGAAACTTAAAATGTCTACTCTTCATCCACCATCTCTTCTTCCCACTGGTATTAAATTCAAAGTCTAATCATGAGAGGTATAGGTGTCTGACACTATTTGTATAGAAAAAGAGGCCTCAAAAACTAAACAAATAAGAAATTCATAAAATAGGATTAAACTTTTTGAATAGTTGCATTTGTTACTTTAATTTCCTTAATCTTTTATCTTTTCTGGTCATAAATACATTTTTTCCCTTCTATTCATCCAGAGAAGTTAATACACAAATTTGTTGTAAGCATTATAAAATGGCATTCCAATTCAAAGTTGCTTGTCATCATATCCACATAACAAGTGTATACTGTGCTCCAAAAGGTTTTGCAGTTCTTCAGTGTAGTTTCTTAATGTTATGTCCCTTAAATTAAGTTTTCCTCAAAAAGAGATCCATGGTAATATGAGCTCATTTTGAAACTCTGAATTAAGTCACTCTTTCTAAAATCAAAGAAGTCCTGCAGCAACTTTAAGACAACTTCTGTTAATCAGTGTCATGACTAAAGTAGTATCTTACTGGAGGTCCAGGCAAATCTTCATCTCCATCAATGTCTGGGGCAAATGACACAGTAAGATCCACATATTTCTTTTCAGTAGTAGGTTTTACAAGTTTATGCATTCTAAGAAAAATAACCAAAGACAAATAATTTGGTAAATTCCTAAAATGAATGATTTGCTGACTAATATTGCCCAGAGAATTGGGTTTATATCTAGACATTATTTTCATTTTAACCCCAATAATACATCTGTTTTCATCTATTTTTTTTTTTAAACTCTAAACTCAAGACACTCATTTATCTAACAATGATCACTTTGGACCACTGCTGGAAGTGATAAAGAATATAAATCACTTAAAGACAAAAACAAAAAGTGAAACAAATTCTCCAACACACAAAAAGCATAAACAACCCAAAATGATTTTTGAAAGCAATGACTTAAGAAAACAAATTCTCCTAAACCTTCTATAAAGATTAGAGAAATCATAAATTCTTCTCATTCATGTCTCTGAAAAAAGCAAGCAAGATTTAAATCTTCAAATGCAAGCTAGAAACATCACAGTAAAATACATTTTTAACTTTCATCTTTCCCTTATATCCTATGTTTATCCTACATACAAAAAAAAAACAACACTTAAACAAATTGGTAGTTACAAAATAGTCACAGGAATGTAAATTATAGCATAAAAAATAGTCAATAATCTATACTAATAAAAGGCTAATATGCTAATTAGACCGGGTTGACTGGACATCTTCTGGACGAAGCCACAGTGGCAGACTGAGGAATAGGTGGTTAGGGGTGATCAGGCCAACAGGGGAGCAAAGCAGTTAGGGATGATCAGCTGGCAGGGGAGCAAGCAGTGAGAGGCATGATCAGGCCGCTGGGGAAGTAATTGGGAATGAAATCAGGCAGGCAGGCAGGCAGAGGTGGTTAGGGGCAATTAGGTCAGCATGGGAGCAGTAAGGGGCAGCAGGCCATAAGGCAGAGGCAGTTAGGGGTGATCAGGCAGGCAGAGTGGTTAGTGGGGATCAGGCAGATAGGCAGGTGAGTGGTTAGGATCCAGTGGTCCCAGATTGTGAGAGGGATCTGAGATTGGAGAGGGTGCAGGCCAGACTGCGGAACCCTGTCCTCCCCGCTCCCGTGCACGAATTTCATGCACTGCATTATAACAACTACCAATGGGATCAGAGGGGTACTTAAAATAAGGGGAGGGGAGACATTGTAAAATATATGATTATCTAATCACTGTGCTATACACCTGAAACTAATACAAGAATAAATAACACTGAATGTAAACTGTAATTGAAAAAAATAATTGGTTAGAAAAACTCTAACCCCCTACCCCCACTTAGTTTTTGCGATTGTACTGCTATCTTAAATCAAACCATCATCTATATACACTATTACTGCATTAGCTTCTAGAAAGCTGTCTCCATTTGCTTTTCTATCTCCAATCTACTCTGCTGCCAATATTCTTTTAAGTAAATCATCATTCTCTTGCCTAATAATATTATCTGTCATACCTATCTCATGACAGGCTCTGTACTATAAAATCTTTAATCCTCAAAGTAGCTCCTTCCATTTTACAAAGATATTTTGACCCATATATACCTTTCATTCTTTCCACCACTTACTCTTATCCACCTCAACCTTAAGTCATTCAAAAATACTTGATTTTCCAAATAGATTATGTATGTTCTTTATTATCAGCTGCATGCCATTGCACAAACTATTGCTTTTGCCTGATATAATCCATTTTCAAAAGTAGTGCAAATAAAATCTACCCTAAGCAGGTTTGATTTAGTAGTATCCACAGTATTCTGTAAAAAACTTTATTATAATTCTTCAATTATATTTTAATTAACATGTGACTTTCCCTTAATCTGTGAACTCCTTGAGAGCAAGGTCTATTTGATAAAGTTGTATGATGACAAAACATTAACAGGAGTAATATTCATTGAATATTTTTTACTTGCTATTACAATACTAGCCCTTACTATTATTTTAGTATTCAATAGCACAAACATCCATGTTTATGATTAGGAAACTAAGTTTCAAAAAAGTTCAATAAACTACAAATTCATGTGACAAAACAATTAAATAGTTGAGGAAGGATGTGAACCCAGGTATTTCTGAAGCCAAGCTTATCCAGACACTTCATAGGCAGCCAGTAAATTATCTGCTAAATAAATAATGTAATCAAATGAGAAATATCATTCACAATACATCATGCTGGAGCTTACACATATTGGCCAATTCTTTAAAGCATTTTTATGAATTATTCATAGCAAATTTTCAATTTCACTAGTTAATACACTTCAGGACTACACATTCCAATCTCATCTAGGTACTTTATGACATAATTCTAAATACTAATCTTTATCCAAAAGATATTTAGGATCTAAATTAAAAACAAAAAACAAAACACACAACCAATATGAGCCAAATTAAGGCCTTAGCTAATGCAATAGGAGTTCTGTTTGTGAAGTATAGATAATTAGGACTGGATTATAATAAAAAACAGTGAATAACCTCACTAACTGATCATCAGAGTTAAAACTGACATATCTGTTACGGCACCATCCTGTGGAGATTCATTTATTCATATGACAAATATATATTGTCTATTTTGTTCCAGGCATTGTTCTAAGTTCTTGAAATCTATCAGTGTAAATAAAGATTCCTACCCCTTGTGAAGCTATTATTAATAATAAACATTATATAGTAATTAATAATAAACATTATATAGTAGCTATAAAAGTCAGTGATGAATTTTATGTAAAAGAAAAGTAGAGCAAAGGACATCAGGCATGTGAGGAGGGGGCAGCAGATAGGATGCAGTATTTTAACAGGGCCCACGGAGGCTCTTCAAGAGGTACAAAGACCAGAGGTGAGAGTTAGCCAGGTTGTTATCTCAGAAAGAGTTACAAGCAGAGCAAATAACTAGAGCAAAGGTTTCATGCTAGTGCATGAATGGAGTGTTCAAAGAAAAGAATGACCAGTATAGGTAGAATTTTGAGAGTAGAGGGAGAGAAGTATGAAATAAATTCAGAGGACTAACTGTGAACCAGATCATTTAGGGCAGTGGTTCCCAACCTTTCTAATGCTGCAATCCTTTAATACAAATCCTCATGTTGTGGTGGCCCCCGACCATAAAATTATTTCGTTGCTACTTCATAACTGTAATTTTGCTAGTTATGAATCGTAATGTAAATATCTGTTTTCCGATGGTCTTAGGCTCTACAGCAGTGGTTCTCAACCCGCTGATTTAGGGCCTTGCAGACCACTGTAAAGACTGGCTTTTTTAGTTCCTACGACAAGCAAAGGAAATAACTAGACTACTTAATATAACACAGTAATTTACCCCCTTATTCCGTTTTCTACATAGCATTTAACACTATCTGATGTACTGTCTAGTTAGTTGTTATGTAAACTCTCCAACAGGACAGGGACTTGGCTTTGTACACTGTTATGCCCCTAATGCTTACAAAAGTATCTGGCACATGGTAGATACTCCTTAAAAATAAATGGTGAATGAATGAATATAACAATTTGGTATTTTTGTTTTTATACTTCAGTCTCATATTCCAGGAGGAGTGGATCTATTTTCACTTGGAATGTTGATCAAATCAGGTTTCTAAGCCTATTGGCTGAAAAGTTAACACTGAATTACAATAAATTCACAAGGGTATTATAATCTTACTAGTGGCCCCAGTGCACAAAACTCATGCACAGGGGATGGGGGTTCCCTCAGCCTGCACCCTCTCCAATCAGGGACCCCTTGGGGATATGTGACTCCAATAGGGCCTAAACCGGCAGTCGAACATCCCTCTCGCAATCTGGGGACTGCTGGCTCCTAACTGCTCACCTGCCTGCTTGCCTTATTGCCCCGAACCTCTCTTCTTGCCTCCCTGATCACCCCCAACTGCCATCCCTCAGCCCGATTGCCCTCCCCTGCTGGCCTGATCCTCCTGTACCCCCCTGCCAGCCTGATCTCTCTAACTGTTCTCCCCTGCCAGCCTGATTGTCCCTAACTGCCTCTGCCTCGGCCCCACCACCATGGCTTTGTCCAGAAGGATGTCTGAAAGGTCTCCTGGTCTAATTAGTATATTACTATTTTATTAGTATAGATAGATGAATCTCTCTTGAGAAGTAGCCAACTGAGCATAAGTAGTAAAACACATACTTCTATCTGAATTTTGATAAACTTCTATATTTAATTTTCCAGTGTGCATCCAGCTTATATGCTTCAATTTCTGTGACTCTTTTGCACATAGTGTATAATACTTACGTTAACTTCAATCTTTTTGCATGACCAGGCATTATCGGAACATAAAGCATTTTGACGCCTTGTACCACCATTGTTGGCTCAATTCCATACTTTTCCTGAAAGTGAATATCCAAAAGAGAAACAATATTCAAAGCTCAATCTGAATATAAAGTTTTGTGTGACAAAGTTTTACAGCCAGTAAGAATAATACTTATTAAATTATCCCATAAAATTATGTATAAAAACTACGACTCAAAGCAACTAACGTATAAAAAACAAACTCAAAGCAACTAAGTGAATACGTGTCTCACTTTGACAGCATTTATAAAATCCAAGAGAGTGAAATCTTCTTTTCCGTGTATAGTCCATCGGTCCCAAATTGTAAATGATATTCCATTTCTGTTGTAGAAAGATATTCAGAACAAAAACATTTTAATTTTCTTTCCTTTAATAATAATAAAAAGCTCTCAGAAGTCCATTACTTATAATTTAGCTAGATATTAATATAGGGAAAAAAGGAAAATACGACTAATTATCCCATAAACTTGTTTCTCCAAAATGCCATGTATGTAACCACTTTTATCAATTCCTTATTGGTTTTTCTAGCATCTCATTATAAATCAGTATGACTTAGTGATAGAGTCCCCCCCGCCCCCCCTTTTTTTAAATACCTGCATGAGTTTCATTGTGTGGATATTATAGTATCCTACTATTGAATCCTTGGGTTGCTCTAATCTTTAGTTATGACAAATTATGTCAGAATGAATAGCTTGTAAATATTATCATTTGATATGAATGTAAATGTATCTGCAAATTTGAAATACAATGTTATATTCCCCATATTATGGGTTACACTACTTTATACTCTCATCAGTAATATAAGAAAGTGCTTTCTCACACTCTTGCCAAAATAGATGTTTTCAAATTTTTGGTTGTTGCCAGTCTGGAAAGCCAAAAATAAAGACCCAAGACAATGCTTTGCCGTGTCACATAGCTTTTGGAACTAGATTCTAAATTGGATGATCCATTAGTCAGACACCAAGGCGTCTTCTAATTTATTTAAGTTAGGTGTATGAAACCATAAAACAGTAGATGATAAACAGTTTGACAGATTAAGTACTGGGAGAGTTCAATGGCTAGTTCAGTAAAAAATACGTCAAGAAGATAGGAGTTTCACTTGTTCTTGAAGTATTGGCTAGAATAGATTTAGAAAAAAAGGAAATGTGCTGAAACCAGTTTGGCTCAGTGGATAGAGCATCGGCCTGCGGACTGAGAGGTCCCAGGTTCGATTCCGGTCAGGGGCATGTATGTTGGTTGCGGGTGCATCCCAATAGGTGGTGTGCAAGAGGCAGCTGATCGATGATTCTCTCTCATCGATGTTTCTAACTCTCTATCCCTCTTTCTTCCTCTCTGTAAAAAATCAATAAAATATTAAAAAAAAAAAAGAAAAAAAAAGGAAATGTGAAATTAGTATTTTTCCCTTTTGAAAGGTAAAAATTTTATTTTATTCTCATTATGTATGAGAAATAGACCTTCATGCGTACCTGATTTCAGTTTTTCTTACTTCAGTTGTTTCTGTAAACACTATAATTGGAATGGCTAAGTTAAGGAAACAATTTTTGTAAGCTTCAAAGGGATAGCCAGCAGCTACTTTGATAATCTCCAATGCAACCTGGATTAAAAAAAAAAAGTAAACTGATTATATAAAAAGCCTAAAACTATTAATGACTTTAATTACCTCTACTCAATATCACTAAATTCTTCTCAAGCACTTTTCTGTAAAGATTTTACTCTGGACTAGAGCAATATAAATTTTTTATAAATCTCTCCAGTTTTAGCATACATACTTTCAAACTCCCTACCTGTTCTCTACATGGTGAACAAAGTTATTAAAAGAATATCTTAACTTAAACAGGTAATCTTACTACTTTGAAAGCAGATAGCAGAACTCAAAAATAAAATAGTCTAAGAACACAAAATAGAGGCAGATAATTACATGATTTCTACATATAATACTATATATGGGGTAGTAACTAGGGCCATTGTAAAGATTCTGAATCATTAGGGAAGATTAAATTGTAAGAAAGTGCAGAGCACTAAAAATCCAATAGCAAAGATCAGGGCAGTTTATTTTATTCAAGAAAAAGAATACCTGCTTGGTATGGAGAACACAAAGATGATTAAAAGGATTAGTGCCTATAAGAAAAATTAGACTATCATGACAGATTTTTTTTTTTTTACTGTTAATGGCATGGCTCACTGGTTGAGTGTCAACCTATGAATCAGGAGGTCACAGTTTGATTCCTAGATGGGGCACATGCCTGGGGTTGCACTCAATCCCCAGTGTGGCGCATGCAGGAGGCAGCTGATCAATGATTCTCTCTCATTATTGATGTTTCAATATCTTTCTCTCTCCCTTCCTCTCTGAAATCAATAGAAATATATTTTAAAAAAGGTTTGTATACTTAAATATTAAATGCAGATTACTGTATTTTAAAAAATGTCTTGCAATTTTTAATTATAAGATCAATATGTATCTCTCTCCTTTTCTAAGATCTCTGAGTGACTGTTTGGAGGTAGTATAATGGGAAAAAAGGAAAGAGGCGATGAAAAAGATGCATTTTCACTGAAAGAACAACAAACTTACCAAGCCAGAAACTGCAGCAGTGGTTGTTGCTATAGCAGGTATAATTTTACCAGCTATGCGCTTTGTTTTAAAACGGTCAGCTGGTTCAATGCTATACATTTTAGCACGAAGATTTGATGCAGCCGTGATGAAATCTATGTGTCCATTACAATCATCATCTTTTTCAAATGAAAGGACTGCCATCTGAAGGTCACCTGATCATAACAACCAGAAAAATAGTTTTCTAGTAAGTGGTAAAGATTTTATCAGGTGAAAAGCAATGTAGGATCTGATAGGTTCTGTTTTGTTTATGTTTTTGAGTGACTGAAATAAGAAAAATGTATAAGAAAAATGCAATGAACTGCAGACATTGAAGGAAATGAAAATAATGGCTTTTATATCACTAGATTAGAGAAGTTTCTAGATTATAAAAACATTTCTAAAAAATAGAAAAATAAGAAAGACATGTGCCACATCTGCTTGTAAGTGGTTTACAATAAAAAGGCAACAGTGGGTATTGTTTGAAGGTTGATTTGAAACATACTACTCTAAAACATTTGACCTCTGATAACTAAGAATAGGGTAAGTTGGTCAAATAAAAATATGATTCTTTTTTAAAGATTTCTAGATCAGTGGTACCCCTAATCATTCTGTAAATAGGTATGATTTGATTTGTGATGAAATGAAAAAGCAAGAAATGATAGTATGTTTTTTTCCAGAACTATAATATTAAGCTAAGATGGTTACCTTTTATTTGTAAAAGAAATAGTAGGCTAATCCTGGTTGTTTTCCCTGAATTTTACTGGTCTGTGCATAAAATCCAAAAGTTTGGAAATTGTTGATTTATGTAATAGAAAAATGGTAAGCAAGTCTAAAAACATGAACTACTGTGTTTCCCAGAAAATAAGACATCCTCTGAAAATAAAACCTAGCGCATGAAAAGATAAGACATCCCCTGAAAATAAGACCTAGCGCAACTTTGGGAGAAAAAAATTAAAGTAAGACACTGTCTTATTTTCGGGGAAACAGGGTAGTAGCTCTGTTTTTAAGGAATTAACTGTTCAGTTTCCCTCTGTTCAAGACAAAGTATAGGGTGTAGGTCAGTTTGTATTCCCTGTAATTATGGAAACTAAGAAGCCAAGAGAAAAAAAAACCTGTCTATGCTTTTTTATCCTGAAGTGACTTACTTGTCTAAGATTAATGACTCTACTTTTTAAAGTTCATTATGCTAGTTATAAGTTAAAAAAGAGTCACAATAGAACCTAAAACACTCAGAACAATAACAAAGCAGATTACATTTGAGCTTTTGAGAGTAGGGCAATGGTGAAGAAAATTATGAATTCAGTCACAGTTAAAGATGAACAGTATCTTTCTTCAGATTAAGAAATCAACTAATATCATTACTATTATTGTTATTAAATCCCATAAGCTTTTGGGTGTAGAACTTAACAAAACAGAAATCTCTCCAAGTTCAAAACATTTTAATAAAGATTAGTTCTTACTTGTGGTAGCTTTATTAGATGACATAATCTTTTCTAGTTGGGAAATAGCATTCCTCTCATCTTCACTGCTGATAGGAATCTGGTCTGGCTTCCGTGCTGTTTCATCTGTTTGAACAACCTTTTAAATACATGTAAACATGTCCATTAATGTATCACATCCAATGTCTAACTTTGGTTATCATACCTGTTTTAGCAAATAAGTCACAAGAGAAAATGTACCCCCTATCCAGTTTAATCAGATTATTACTCTTTATGGTAAAATGTGTTTTATACCTTCCTCTAGTTACACCGGGTTGGAGAACATCCGGCCCATGGACCATAAAGGCCTGTGGGCTGTATAAGGCCTGTAAAATATTTTGGTCTGGCCCTGAAAGGCATTAGGGATGAGTTAATTAAATGACAGACCACATATAGTAGGCTAATTTTTAAGTTGATAATTAAAAAAAAATGTTTATATTGGTTTTTAGAGAGAGGGAGAGAGTTAGAAACATCAATGATAAGAGAGAATCACTAATTGGTGGCCTCTTGCACATTCCCCCACTGAGGATCAAGCCTGCAACCTGGGCATGAGCCCAGACCAGGAATTGAACCTTTGACTCTTAATTCCTGGGCTGACACCCAACCACCAGAGCTACTAGTACACTGGGCAGGGCTAAGTTGATAATTTTGTATGGCCCTCGAATGATGTTATAAATATCCAAATGGCCCTTGGCAGAAGGAAGTTTCCCCACACTTGCAGAAGTAGGTAATATTATGTTATTTATGTTTTCTTTATTATCTGTCTTCTAACACTGACACCTAAACTCTATGAGAACCTTTTTTCTCAGGGATGCTTACTTTGTTCACTAAGAGCACCAAAATAAATATACATAAAACAAACTTGTTTATAGTGAGTGTTAAAAATATTTATTGAATAGTTTATGAGCCCTAAATTTATATGGTTCTTTTTTAAAATTCCACGCTAAATAAAGTTGATAATAATCAAAAGTTTGTGATTCTCACAAATCTGTTTCAAAACAAACTACATGCCTCTATCTAGTACAGAGTTGTTCTGTCTTTGAAGAAACAGGAGATCCATAAAATATATAGGCATCCTTTAAATATTTCTTGATTGCTGATAAGCAATGCTTTTCCAAAGAATATGTCTTCCTTTATACTGATCCAAGGGAATTATTCAAGTAATTTATCCTTAAGGAATTACTTACTAGACTTCCCATAACGGTAGTGAAGTTAATATTCTCAAACTAAGAAACTAGCTACATCATCACTGATTAAAGCACTATTTTGTATTTTAAAAAGACATCTAACTCATGTTTTTATAACCCTAATCTGGATTCTCCAGGTTTAGAATGGGATCTGACATATACAGAAGTTAGTAACTATTTGCCAAATAAAAGAATTTCTAAACATACCTTACTGGAAGGTTTGAATTCCTGAATCTTTACTTCTGAAAGAATATTCAAGAGGACACCTGCTGATATATCCTGTTTTTAAAAAAAGTAATTTATCAACAAACTTGTTCATTTAATTCTGAATTCTAAAGCTAAAATCATTCTATAAAAAGTCCTTTTTTATATAAGAATATTTGAATAATTTATCATTTGACTATTTAGACTACATCCATTTATGACAGTTATTTATTTTTATAGAAATATCAACTCTATAAAGACTGGGGACACAGTGGTATGTGCAAAAAAACTACTTATTTGTCAAGAAACCTAAAAATTTTAGTTCTTTCCACAAATTTTTATAAAGGTAGTTTTATGACTGGTTGTATCAGACTAAGTGCTTTACGAGAGGGGACTATGTCTTCATTTTTTTTTTTTTTATAAAGCTCTTGGCATAAAATTATATCAATAAATAACATAAATAAGTAAACAGAATTCACACCTTTGAAAACACTAATGTATTTAAATGGCTCAAGATGAACCTGGATAAATTTAAGGTTATCAGATCCATATTTACTATTAGGAGGCTGCTTAGGAAAAACTGCGGCAAACCGCTTTTGAGGTCACCTATGACACATCACAAAAGTACCACTGTCTTTACAAAAAGAATATTAGACTGCATGCCACTATTTTTACCGGACATGCACAGCGTATTTACTTTGCATTATTTCTAAAAAGGATTAATCTGCAACAGGCATTTTATCTGGATCCTAGGAAGCTAGATCTATTTGGATCTAGATCTAAAAGTCAGAATTAGGAATCTGGTTCATATTTTCCATTCAGCCTATATAAATGTGTTACAATTTATTTAGCTCTAATATGCATCTGTGGGGGAAAATTCAATACTGCAAGTTTGCCTCTCAAATGAAACTGCATTATATCCTTTACAGTTAGTCAAAAAACAATAATGCCTAAAATAATGGATATGATGATAAAGATTAAGAAATGTCAATATGAGGTAGCATTTTCAAATTTCCTGAAAAGAATATAAAAAAGCATCATAAAATGAGCCAAGCAAATGTTAACAAAGAGAATCTCTAAGAAATATTTTAAGTTTGCTATAAAATAGTTCCTTTTGGGTTTCAGAGAAATTACAAATGAAGTTATTATGTTATAAATGTTTTAAAAATAAAGTTAAGGCTGCTTTTATAAATACTAGAAGCCCGGTGCACAGGGGGAGGGGATGTCCCTCAGCCCAGCCTGCACCCTCTCCAATCTGGGATCACTCTCACAATCTAGGACTGCTGGATCCCAACTGCTCGCCTGCCTGCCTTCCTGATTGCCCCTAACTGCTTCTGCCCGTCAGTCTAATCACCCCCTAAACCACTCCCCTGCCAGCCTGATTGATGTCTAACTGCTCCCCTGCCAGCCTGTTTGCCCCTAACTGCCCTCTCCTGCAGGCCTGGTCTTCCCTGACTTCCCTCCCCTGCAGGTCTGGTCCCCCACAACTGCTCTCCCCTGCAGGCCTGGTCCCTCCCAACTGCCCTCCCCTGCTGGCCATCTTGTGGTGACCATGTTGTGGCCACATGGGGGCAGGATCTTTGACCACATGGGGGCAGCCATCTTATGTGTTGGAGTGATGGACAATCTGCATATTACTTTTATTAGATAGGATGCTTCACTACTTAAACTTAGAAAGAAAATTAATCTTCTTCTACTTAGTAATGCTGCAATGAGATTTTTAGCTCTTGCTATGGACAACAATGCAACAAAACAAAAAAAATTCTCATAATATATAAACACATTATGATGATGAAATTAGCTGGTAAATCATCTAATTCTACCTTAGCTTTGTATCATTTGTTAAGGCTTGAAAATATCTTACCTCTTCTGTAAATGGAATGGAATAGATTGCAGCATATAATTTTGCAGCATTCAGAAGGAAACTGAAGTGCCTTTGAAGTTAAAAAAATAAAATGAAGTGTGAATGCAGTTTCAAATAAGATGTTTAATTTAGCAGATACTAGTCTTTAAAATGTTAAAGAAAAATAACTATAGAATTTTTGTTACAGAATTATTTTTTTAAAAGTCAGTCTGTTAAATTCTGGTCTAGACCTAAGATCTGTAAAGACTATAGACAGAAAACATCAGATGTTCATCCTCATAAGCACTGATACTTAGAAGTAGTTATCAAGATTACTTTGGAGGTATGAGTGGGCAGAGAAGCAAAAATTAGGTTAGTGAAAGAAAATTTATTTTAATTCATAAAAAAGCATTACATATTTGGTTTTAAAAAGTTTATGTTAGATTCATACTAAGCAAGAGTGTTTAAAAAAAAAAAGAAATGTAAGTTTGCTAGAACAAGCAGTCAGGATTAGGTGAGTGAAAGCCTAAAATAAACACCAGATAAAAACCTAAGCATAAAGGAAGACTTACAAACAAGTGTTTAGTGTGTGTGTGTGTGTGTGTGTGTGTGTGTATAAATAAAGTGTATATCTCATCTGGATAAGTATTCAGGTATTCACTCAAAGACCAACTCCTCTGAAAATTAATTTGATGTTATTTAGGGAGATATTTAGTAGTAATCATTCTTATCCCCAAATAACTTAAATTTCCTATATACTAACTTCATTAAATAGAGAACATCTGCTGTTACTTCACTTTTTATGGATAAAGTCAAAGAGGTGATACTTTGGTTTCATTTTAGAAAAGATAAAAATAATGAGTTTATTTACCATAGAGAATAAATAAGTTGTGTGGAAAGAAGGGTTGTGTGACTGGCTTGGTTGTGCAGACTATGTTTAACTTTAAAGAGTCTGAAAATGTCACCCATTAAGATAAGCCTATACAAAGTTAAAAATTTACAAATAAATATAAACCTGGATGTAAATACTTACAAAGGCTCATTAAAATCAAATTTTATTGGACGGGGAGGTCTCTTTGGTGACTGCCAAAACAAACCTAATAAGAGAGATATTATTTTAAATTGAGATAGCCAGCGATAGATTACATTAAACTATTTTCTCAATACTCAGCTATACTTACTGCCATCTTTTAATCGAGTATCTAGGGGGAAACAGTGAAGGAGCTGAAGAGCCTAAAGAAAAAACGAAGTAAAAGAAAAATGAAAACACACAAAAAGATGTACAGTGAAGTCTCCCAGCTACTCCTATACTATATCTGTACTACATCTGTACATTCTGGATTCTGTCACTGTCCCCACCTTCAAACCCCCCCCCCCCCCCAGAACCTGGAATAAGCTCTATTGTTAGTTTAAAATTAACACTAATAGTTTGTCATATAAAAAATAATATAAATGAAGCCACTTCAAAATGGGTCTGAGCTGCCATCCCAGAAGAACTGCCTTACAGGTCTTAACCCTCAAATCCTTAAAATATTAAACTGGGTGAAATAATCACTGGACTGGGCCTAAGGCAGTACTATATTCCAAATAATTGATTGTACAGCTAACAGGAAATCATTATGACTATTAAACTGAAAATTACGTATTCTTTGGAATTAGCAACACTATGCTGGTATCTGCATCTATAGAAATTCCTTCTTTGGAGTATTAAGAACCGTAAAAAAAAAAAAAATCCTTCTTTCTATACCTGTAATTTTTCTCCTTCTTCTCATGAATATCCCTTGCCTTCACCTCCTAACCAGAATACTTATTCTAGTTTCTGCTTGAATCAGTGCTTCCTAAATAGCTATTCTTTTGGATCTCATCTAAATGCTTATTGCCTCTCAATCTGGGATTTTATTTTTAGGTTAACAGCATTTAGGTTAACACACATTAGATTATTTCATCTCTTTTTATAGAAACAGTGGCTGGCATATTTTACATATTACTCGGCAACTTTCAAATTAAAACAAAATTAAACCAGAAAAACACCTATTATTTTGTATTTTAAAGTGGTATGTTTGGGATTTGCTTCAAAACCATCTAGGGAAGGGAGGAGTTAGAGATTACCATGTTTCCCTGAAAATAAGACATCCTCCGAAAATAAGACCTACTTACAGGTTTCCTTCTGAGTGAAATATAAGGCATCCCCCCCGAAAATAAGGCCCCCCTAGACTAAACATGAAAGATTTGGTCCACTGATTCTGAAAGAAATGGAGTCACAAGAAATTCACCAGGAAATTCAGGAATTGAATTGTTATGATGATGTTCCAGAAGATGATGACATGATTGTCACTGAATAAATGAGTAAATTCTTGATACTGTAAGATTCAGTTTGTGTGGTTTGTGTTGACAACTACTGTACTACCGTGCCGTATACAGGTAACAAATTTCCTTTATTTTCTTTTTCTTTTTTTAAAATATATTTTATTGATTTTTTACAGAGAGGAAGGGAGAGAGATAGAGAGCTAGAAGCATCAATGAGAGAGAAACATCAACCAGCTGCCTCCTACATACCCCCCACCGGGGATGTGCCCGCAGCCAATGTACATGCCCTTAACTGGAATCGAACCCGGGACCTTTCAGTCTGCAGATTGACGCTCTACCACTGAGTCAAACCGGTTTCAGCAATTTCCTTTATTTTCATTTAACAATAAATATGTACCGTATTCTTCTTCATGGAAAAATAAGACATCCCCTGAAAATAAGACCTAGCGCATCTTTGGGAGCAAACATTAATATAAGACAATGTCTTTTTTCTGGGGAAACAGGGTAAAACAAGATTATCTAGGAGTTGATATTTATTCAACCTTAGTGATAGATATATGAGGATTACATGGGAGTTCATGATACTATTTTCTCTACATTGTATTGTTCTCAAATTTTTCCATTATAAAAAGTTTAAGAAGACCTACTAAAAAGAGAGTACAGGATACATTCTAGCAATTGTTAAGTTATTGGAGGTAAAAATAACAGCCAATATTATTGAGTATTTATGGGCTAGATTCTGTTCTAAATGCTTTATACATGTACTAGAGGCTTGGTGCAAGAAATTCGTGCATGGAGGTGTGTGTTTCTCAGCCCAGCCTGCATCCTCTCCAATCTGGGACCCCTCGAAGGATGCCCGTCTAACCGGGTAGTCAGACATCCCTCTCAAAATCTAGGACTGCTGGCTCGCAATTGCTTGCCTGCCTACCTTCCTGATTGCCCCTAACCTCTTCTGCCTGCCAGACTTATCACTCTTTAACATCTCCCCTGCCAGCCTGATTAATGCCTATTTCCCTGCCAGCTTGTTTGCCCTTAACTGCCCTCCCCTGTTGGCCTGGGCACTCTTAACTGCCCTCCCCTGCAGGCCTGGTCCCCCCCAACTGCTCTTCCCTGCAGGCCTGGGTCCCCTCCAACTGCCCTTTCCTTCAGGCAGTTTGCCCCAACTTCCCTCCTCTGCTGGCTTGATCACCCCCAACTGTCCTCCCTTGCAGGCCTGATTGCCCACAACTGCCCTCCCTCACAGACCTGGTCCCTCCCAACTTCCTTCCCCTGCTGGCCATCTTGTGTCCACATGGGGGCAGCCATCTTGTGTGTTGGAGTGATGGTCAATTTGCATTTTATTCTTTTATTAGATAGGATTAACTCATTTGAACCTCATCATTGCCCTATCTATTAGGTACCAACTTATTATACCCATTTTACGAATGGGGAAACAAACACATAATATGATTATCAGACAGGATGGAGAAGGCAAAATTGCAACAAAATTTCTGACTAAATTTCTCTATTTTTACTAGTCTTTTCCTTTACTCTGAAAAACAAACTACATTTAGACTACTGATGAAATATATTCTGTGTACTCCAGAAGGAATCTTTATCTAATAAAACCCAATTTTGTAGACAGAAGGAGAAGGATAAGTTAAATTTACATCTAACAAACGAATTAGTGAAGTTTAAAAGCATTCTTTAATAAGGGACATTTAAAGAGAAATTAGTTGTGTGCTCAGCACTTGTTCTCATTTAATTTACTATTTATTTCTGAAAAGCTTCCCAAAAGAAAAGAGTATTCATTTCAGATCAATGAAATTAATTTGGTAGTAATTAAATAAGCCAAGGTCAGACCTTTTCTTAATGTTTTATAATGTATACTTACCTTATGGTTAAAATATTTTTCAAACTTTAATCTTGCTAATTCTACACAATGGGACCACTTTCTAGGTCTTCTGCTAAGTAATTTAATAACTTGAAATGAGCCTTCTAAACTGTGTCCAGTTTGTAGTTTCTAGAATGAGAGAAAACATAACAAATGCATTTCCATTATAAAAAGTTTTAAAAAACCTACAAAAGATAAGGACAAACAAACAGTTCTCTCTCTGCCTTCCTCCCTCTCTCCCAGGTGAGTATTAGCCAAAGTTTGAAGTGCCATCTCTTGTTCCTTGCCCTTGCCTTTCTCTCTCTCCCCTTCTTTTCTTTCTTTTTTGGAGGAGAAACAGAAACAAAAAACCAAAAACAAACAAAAAAAAACACATGAAATTTTAACTCTAAAGTTTCTTATCTCTCAAATTATTCTCATAACTTGCTAGCTACTGGTAGTATATATGTACTGACTAAAAGAAGTACTAAGAAAATGTTTTATACTAAAAAGCTAGCATTTTAAAGGAAAGAAAACATCTTTGAAGTTTCCTCACCATGAGAGTATAAGTCTGAGATATTACTATCCAATCGTGAAAGTTTCACTAGAACTCACAAAGAGCTGCTTTATTATTTGTAGCTCTCCTTGTATTATATACACTCTTATTAGGTTGAACCATATGAATTGATGTTTTGTGGGTGAAACATGGTCAAATATAGGCAACTCCATATAGTTTGACCAAACTAAAAAAAAAAAAAAAAAAAAACAACCCAAAAAACTAAAACCTTTTTTATGAAGATCATTGTTACCTGCTAATTTTAAGATTCTTCATGTACTTACCACAAACAATAATAATGCCATTAAACTCTTTATAAAGAGGTAAAGTAAACCAATTGCAGGGAACTTTTATATAAAATTACCTGTAAGACTTCTTTTGCAGATGAATAGGTTTGCCAAAACTTGTTAAATAATGAAGGCTTGTGGGAAAAGGAACTTTCAAACTGTTATGGAAAAGAGAGAAAAAAGTTACAAACAGAAGTTTAATTGGAAGTTGGGAATATCTTCTTTTCTACTACTACAAAGAAAAATTCCTTTAATAAATATCTTTATTACCTTATCTCTTGCCCATTGTATTGTATGTTCAATAGCAGCTGGAAAGGATTTCAGAGTACAAAATGGTATTTCCTCTTCTGGGGGATCCCGCTAATTTATAAAATGTGATAACAGACAATTAAAAGAAGCAACGGCAATTTTTTATTGGCTAAATTTACCCCAATGTTTTAAGACCATTAAAAAAAATGAAATTCAGCCGAAACCGGTTTGGCTCAATGGATAGAGCGTCGGCTTGGGGACTGAAAGGTCCCGGGTTCGATTCTGTTCAAGGCCATGTACCTTGGTTGCGGGCACATCCCCAGTAGTGGGTGTGCAAGAGGCAGCTGATTGATGACTCTCTCTCATCGATGTTTCCAACTCTCTATCTCTCTCCTTTCCTCTCTGAAAAAAATCAATAAAATATATTTTAAAAAAAATGAAATTCAAAAATAAAAGAAATCCAATCTTTTAATATCTTCTCTCTTCTAGGCACCAAGAAGACAAACTGATTCTTTTGCTACTTAATCTACTTGTTAATAGCAATGTAAAAACAAACACGAATTTTATGATCACTTTTGGCACCGTGTGGCACTGATAAAAGACCACCATATTTAACTAATTTTTCCCTTCCCAGAATCGAGGTTACATTTAAAACTTTATACTACTCCCTATTATAAAAAATAATTCAAGAATCCCCAATACAGTTCTCAGCATACTATGAGCTTTTCCATGGAGATAAAAACTGGGAAACATGAATATGTCCTTGATGCTTGGTACAGCTTTGAGTAGAAAGTATGTAAAGTAAATGGCAAATGCACTGAAAAAAATCTATATCCTGTATAGGGTACATTTGGACCATGCTTATTTGTTTAACTAATGTAAAATGACTCACTTGGTCTCATTTTACTTGGGTATTTATATTTTAGTTTGTTGATTTTTTAAAAAACCATAAAATATAAGCCAAAGAGGTGAGAAGAGTATTAAATTCTCAATTTTGAGTATGAAGTCAGAGAAGACAGGAAAAGGTTTGAGAAAAATATAGAACAAGAGCATCAATGGAACTTTTGGAATTTTATAGTATTCTCTACTTGGAAAAACTTCCAACATAACAACTAATATACCATGATTTCCTCCATCTAATTTCCTTCAAATTAAATTCATCAACTTGTTTACTATGTTTTTATTATATAAACTTCAGATTTCATGAGTAAATGGGAAAATATTATAAAATGTTTGAAATTTTACTAAAGGGATATTTACACATGTAAAAAATAGACTTCTTAAAAAAAAGAAAAGAAAAAATATATATATACTTCTTTCAATTTTACAACTTAGGTTGATCTTTCTTCAAATCCCAAGGCCTGCAATTATTTCTTAGGCCAGTGATTTTCAGCTTCATCAGTATAGCAAGATTACTGTGGGGGTTTAAAAAAGTTATATCTATATATCATTTATAGTAACAAAAAAATATATAAATAGATAGATATATTATAGATAGACAGATAGTTTGGTCCCTAATATTTCATGAGTTACAGATGGATTGTTGTTAGAAAACTAATCAAGCAGCTTTGAGAAATAAACAGTAAAACGACTCCAAACCAAAATTTTGATGATTTAAAAAAATCAGTTCATCATGTTTTTAAAATTGTACATACACATATGTATGAATATCACTGGCAGATGAAAACAGGATTAGAGAAGCTAAATCAAATTTGTGAACTGATGAAGATAATAAAACGATCCTATCTCATAAAAGAGTAATATGCAAATTAACCATCACTCCACTACACCCACAAGCCATGCCTACCAGCCAATCAAGGTGATTATGCAAATTAACCCCAACCAAGCTGGCTGTGGCCACAGAGAGCAGGAGGGAGGCTTGGGTTTCCCCAGTGATGGAAGAAGCCAAGCTTTCTGTATACCCTGGCCAGCCGAGCCTCCACTACAGGCTACAAAGTTTCAATTATAGTAGATAAATCCAAACAGAAATGGCAACAGCCATGGAGCTGGAGAGAGCAGGTAGGGTTGCCCCTGGCGATGGAGGAAGCCAAGCTTTCCACACACCCTGGCTGGCCCAGGCCTCCGCTTAAGGCTACAAAGTTGCAATCATAGAAGATAAATAAATTCCAACAGAAATGGTTGCCCATGACGGAGCAACCAGGAGGCTTGGCTTCGCTCCAGGCTACAAAGTTTCAATTGTGGAAGATAAATAAAATTCCAGATACCAGGGCCTCCGCTTGAGTAGTGGGGGAGTGTAGCTACATTGCAAACCACCACAGGACCCTCGCCAAGGCCACCCCACACCCCAAGGAACCCCCACCCTGATCCAGGACACCCTTCAGGGCAAACCAGCTGGCCCCCACCCATGCACCAGGCCTCTATTCTATCTAATAAAAAAGTAGTATGCAGATCGACCATCACTCCCACACACAAGATGGCTACCCCCATATGATCAAAGATTCTGCCCCATGTGTACATAAGATGGCTGCCACAAGATGGCCAGCAAAAGAGGGCAGTTGGAAGCGACCAGGCCTGTAAGGGAGGGCAGTTGGGGGTGATCAAGCCTGTAGGAGAGGGCAATTAGGGGTGACCAGGCTGGCAGAGGAAGGAAGTCGGGAGTGACTAGACCCTAGGCCTACAGGGAAGGGCAGTTGGGGGGGACCCAAGCCTGTATGGAAGAGCAGCTGTGGGGGGGAGAGAAGGGGGAGGCAGGCTGCAGGAGAGGGCAGTATGGGGTGACCAGGCCTGCAGAGAAGGGCAGTTAGGGGAAAATAGGCTGGCAGGGGAGCAGTTAGGCATCAATCAGGCTGGCAGGGGAGTGGTTAGGGGGTGATCAGGCTGGCAAGCAAAAGCAGTTAGGGGCAATTAGGAAGTCAGGCAGGTGAGCAGTTGGGAGCCAGCAGTCCTGGATTGTGAGAGGGATGTCCAACTGCCTGGTGGGATCGGGCCTAAACGGGCAGCTAGACATCCCTCAAGGGGTCCCAGATTAGACAGGGTACAGGCTGGGTTAACGACACCCCCTCCCATGCACGAATTTCGTGCACCAGGCCTCTAGTGAGATAAAGAGACATTTACTTTAAAAAATTGGTTCACTTACATGACTAATATAAGACTCGGTCAAATGAGGTACAATAACTTCAGTGTGTCCCTTAGTGCCCATTGTTCCAGAATCCAGGAGGGGCCGTAGATTTGCTACAGAACGGCTATTTGAAAGGACAATATGAAACAAGCATAAAAGTGAATAATAGCAATGCAGGCAGAGGAAATCCTACTACTGTCTACTGACTACTTCACACACTGATCACTACTGGACTATATTTTAGGAAACATACATTACTACCAAACGACCCATTAATCATTTCTGTCCCCTTCCCCCAACAAATTATGTTGTTCAATCTAGTCATTTTTGTCTCTACCTTCTACCACCTGCACCACCACATTTTGGGCTTTTTTTCCATTAGGTTAACTCTTAGCTATGTTACCTTTTCTTCTTTTGCTTCCTATTTCTTTGGTTACTTTATGGCTATTGGTTTTATCCCACTGTATCTTCCAAATACTTTCTTAATTCCAAACAATACTATACCTTCTTAAATATTTATAATACCTGTATTCTATATGATTTATTAAAGTTTTTTCCTTCTTCTGACCAAGAAAGGAAAAATAAATTTTCCACTATACTCACAACTGATAAATTTTCTGTTAATATATCTGCTCTAACACCTTAACATTCAAGAGACATATAAAGATGTAAGAAAAATTATGTAATATGTACACATTATAGTCATCCATTCTTCTTATTTTACTATTATTTACTGAATAACATCATGTGTTGAACACCAGTGATACAATAATGGAAAAATAAATGGCTCCTAAATAAATGATTTAATGAGGGGAAAAAATATATAAATATGTGTATCAATAAAATTAAGTGCTATGAAGGAATATGCTTAATGCTATGAAAGATTACCATAGGAGATTTTAATTTAGAATTTGGCAGTTAAAGAAAGACATTTAGGTTGCACCTATAGGGTGAAGAAAAAAACTATGGTAAATAAGGAATAAATAGGTAAATTTGGGATCAGGAGTTTTGGAAAAAGATAAACATAATTTCCTGAGGCTGAAGAAGAGTATGTGCAAGTCCCTGAGGGAAAAAAAAATAAATAAATAAAATAAATAAAAATAAAAAATAAAATAAAATAAAATCTAGCCGAAACCGGTTTGGTTCAGTGGTAGAGCATCGGTCTGCGGACTGAAAGGTACCAGATTCGATTCCGGTCCACGGCATGTACCCTGGTTGCGGGTACATCCCCAGTAGGGAGTGTGCAAGTGGCAGCTGGTTGATGTTTCTCTTTCATCGACGTTTCTGGCTCTCTGTCTCTCTCCCTTCCTCTCTGTAAAAAATCAATAAAAATATATTGAGAAAAAAATCTATACTTAGGGTAATATGCAAATTGGACACAGTCACGTAAAGAGTGATCAACAGGAGGGTGGGACAGTGAGCTACAAGCAGTGGAGAGCTACAGAAGGGCAGGGCAGCGAGTTACATGCGGCGGAGAGCTGTGAGTGGCAGTGTGCAGGGTGGCCAGCTGAGGCAAGCTACAGCAAGCTACTTGTGCACAGATTTGTGCACAAGGCCACTAGTCTATAATAATAATAGTGTAATATGATAATTAGACTGGACAGCCAAACAACCTTCTGGACGTCCTTCTAGATGAAGCTGGGACTGCGAAGGCTGAGGACAGCCACTGCAGCTGTGAGGGCCAAGCCCCTTGCACAAATTTCATGCATAAGGCTTCTAGTAATAATAATTTAAAAAATGATGGATGCACTGTAAGAATTGAAAAAAACAAATGTACTGGAATAAGGGGAGCCAGGAAGGAATAGGTAAATGTTAAGATGGAGAGGTGGAGAAATAAGTGACAGACATTATAAAATACATTGAAGCTACGTTGAAGATTTTAAGTTTTATCCTAGGTATAATGAGAAATCATCACAGAGTTGAGAAGTATTATAATAGCAACATAATGAAAAATTAAAAAATTAAGTAACTTTTCAACAAATAGGCACGAAAAACAGAAATGAAAACAAACAAACAAAGACAATGATGTCCTGGCCGGTGAGGCTCCGTTGGCTAAGTACTATTCCATGCACTGCGAGGTTGCATGGCTGCAGGTCTAATTCCTAGTCAGGACACATGCCTGGGTTGTGGCTCAATCCCCACGAGGGAGCATGTAGGAGGCGGCTGATTGATGTTTCTCACACTGACATCTCCCTCTCCCTCTCTCTAAAATCAATAAAAACATTTAAAAAATTAAATAAAGACAATGAACCTAAATTTCAATTACATACCTGTCTACATATCTCCTGGCTTCAACATTATCTAATGCTGTAATAATTATATCTTGTTTATTATAGAACTCATCATTGTAAATAGCCTCAGTGGCTGGACATACTTTGTTCAAGTGTGCATCTATTTTTACTTGAGGATTTATTTTCAGGGTTGCATCAGCAGCAGTATAACTTTTAGGTTTCTAAACAAATAATAAGCAGAAGAAATAAACGTTAAACAGAAAAAGACAGCCTATGATTGAACTTACACATTCTTGTGACTCTGGAAAATATGTAGGGAGTTGAGAATGAGATAAATTTCCATGTTTTGGTTTGTGGAAATTAGACTGTATTCAGACTACATTTAATAGTGCCCAGTAGTCTAAATAATTTACACATTATTAATTGAAATTTAAACAACCCCTCTTTTATAACTAAATGCTTTAGAGTTCTTGAAATATTAGTTAGGCCTGTCAGGGTAGCTCAGTTGCTAAGAGGATCTTCCTGATATGTCACAGTTGTGGGTTGGATCCCTGGTCAGGATACATACAAGAGTCAACCAATGAATACATAAATAAGAGGAACCAACAAATAGATGTTTCTCTCTCTTTCTCTCTCCCTCTCTCATATTAATTAAATAACAACAACTAGTTAAAAGTCCAACTAAAGGCACATTGTTCTTCTTACTTATAAATTGGCTAAGTGCCCAGAAAAGATGAGAATATAATCAGGAAAATATTAGAAATTCAAACTATATAAACATAAGCTCTCAAACACATGGTAATTTAACACTTTGAGAAAAAAAATCTATGAAAAATATTATTTCTGGATACAAATATTTTTTAAAAATTATGTATATTTCAAGTTTTATATAAAAAAGTACCCTAAACATAATTCATTGTTTTCTTAAAGATTATTAGTGTTATTTCAAATGTCAACGAAGTTCACTTGAAAATATTGACACTAAATGTGGATAGAACATTCTGTTTGAATACATGCACCTAGTTTTAATATGGTATTTCGGTCTCTTAAACTGTTTAGTTGACATGCTTTTACTTCTCAGTGTTGTTAATATACATACAAAGCAGAAACTTTGCTAGAACTCAGTAAAATAATAAATAGGCCAAGTTCTATAAGTTAAATCATGGTTAAATAAGTTAATTTTCTGACATACATTTTATAGTTCATGAAAGACCCTGTTACTTAGTTCCTTATATTTGGATAATCGAGTCAATTAAGTTAACTATGCCACCTGCTTTATTTACTTTTCTGTTTAGGACATTCTTAAGCTATGATTATGAGTCATTAAAAAATAAAATGAAAAAACATTTCAAAAGTAAAAGCAAATTTGCTTGACTGATTAAACTGCTTCTTTTTCTGACTTAAATATCTGGATCACTATAAAAAGATGGAAAAGCATTATTTTATAATAAAAAAGGATGTTAATCAAACAAAATCAATAAAGCACAAAATTATAAATGCTAAACTTGACCACTTCACATTAGAAAGAATGTTTCCGTGTGTGTGTGTGTGTATGTGTGTGTGTATCTATATAGAGAAATATATATACACAGATAGATGTAGTTTCTAAACTATGTTGACATAATTTGGTGATTACAAAATGAAAAAAATACCACCCACAATTCACAACTCGGTTTTTAATATCCAAAATCATTACAAAACCAATTTTTACATTAAAAAATATTTTCCTCTATAATAATTCCAATTATTTGGTAATTTGAAGTTCTAATAAATAATGTATTATGCTTGTCAAGCACTATTTGCTATGTATTAAAAAGAAATTCTCTTCTGTTTTGTATAATACAACAGATAATTTAAATTTGAAACACATAGCAACATACCTGTATGTGATGAGGACGAAATAAGAACTGTCTGTTCAAATTAGATTTTTCTATCAAGTCAGGATCTGTAATTGTAACCTAATATCAAAAAAAAAAAAAAGCTGAAATTATGTAACAAATAAGTTTAAATCTATTTTGTTTTTCTCAGGATGACTGAAACTACTCCCACCATTATTATAAATTATTTTGGCTGGTAAAAATTATGTGAATACAAATATTCCAAAATGATTACTATTACTACTCTTTTATACTTACACTTAATTGTAATTAATGCTTAGCAAAGGAACAGATCAAACAAGTTAAACATTTACTTTTATGTGGTTGTATTTAAAATTTAAACATGCATATGTGATTTATCTAAAATTAATTAAAATATTTTGCTTCTGAACAATTAGATAATATATAGTATCCCTTCTATTTTCCATAATAAACATTTTACTTTTTAACCATCCAATTCCAAATCATATATTTTAAAGGTTTTAAAAATCACTCTAAGATGTTGACAAATGTCTCTACTTACTCTTGCTTCATGCATTGCTCATGTTATCTAATAATTCTTTCAGTGAGAATGAGTAAGTGATAGTTTTTCATCATTTTACTCGTCAAATATCTTTACTTGTCTCGAAGGATAATTAGCTAGGTAAATAAATCTGGGTTGATAACAAATTTGATCTTGCACTGTGAAGATCTGATTCCCTATCTTTAGGTGTGCATTTCTTTCTTTTCTTTTTTTAAAAATGTTTTTATTGATTTTTAAAGAAACATCAATGCGAAAAATATCCACTGGCTGCATTCTGCAGACCAGATCCTCTATTTATTTAGGATTGAGCTTGTAACCTGGGCATATGCCCTAACTGGTAAATGAACCAGTGACCGACACTTCTTTGTCTTACCATTCCCTTCTCTTTGCCAGTGCCAACACCAAGTAAAGCAAAATTTTTTAACATTTCACAGCCTATGGCTCCACATCCTACCTATGGAGAAGAAAAATATATCAAAGTAAATAAAATAAGAGCTTCCACTTACTAAAGAGCAATGTCATAATAATTTTCATCAAATGCTAACTTATAATAAAAACTTTAAAAATAATTTGAACATGTTTGACTAATTTTAGTTTAAAGTTTTAACTAATCTATGATGCTATCATTAAGTGTCTCAGTTACAAAAAAAAAAAAAGTATAAACCAAAGTAAGAAAAAGAACAATATTTGCCTTTCCTGTGATGAGAAAACATTTTAAAATCCCAAAGAAAAGCCAAATAGTGAGCTCATTTTTTAAATACAAGCTAAAAACAAACTGCAAAAATCATGAGTAAAATCTATATATATATGTAAAAAACTAAGGGACCAGTTGCTATGACACGCACTGACCACGGGTGAGGGAGAGGCAGATGCTCAACGCAGGAGCAGCCCTCTGGTGGTAAGAGTGCTCCCACAGTGGGAGCACCGCTCAGCTGACCGAAGAGCGCCAGGCACCAGAATTAAGGCTGATGAGCACAGCTGTGGCGGCATTAGCCTCTTCTGCCTCTGCAGCAGCACTACCAAGCAGCTGTGGTGGCAGGTGCAGCAGGGTCAGGATGAGAGGGAGCAGCAAAGCGCTCAACATGGACTCAGGCTCATCTCTGGCCACCTGCTGCTTCGTGCACTACTAGTACATTCCCTGAAGGGTCCTGCATTGCGAGAGGGCTCAGGCCAGCTGAGGGAGCCCAGGGGTGCACAAATTTGTGCACTGGGCCTCTAGTATTTTAATTAAAAAGATTCTCTGGGAATTTAAGAAAGATAGAATGCACTTCCATATTCCTCCATTTGGTAAGAAAAAAAAACAAAAACACAAAAAACAAACACCTTACCAATATTAATGTATTTCTAGAAAGTTATGTAATGTTCAAAATTATGTAATACACATATTTTCATTTTAAACGTACTAATTCTTTAGATCAGGGGTTGGCAAATATTTTCTGTAAAGGGCAAAATAGCAAATATTTTCAGCTTTGCACTCCATATGGTCTCTGTCAAACTAGTATTGTAGCAGAAAAGAAATTTCAGACAATAATAAGTGAATGAATGTGATCCAATGAAATTTTATTAACAAACAGGACGATGGATTTGGTTTGCCAGCCATAGTTTGCAAACTCCCGTTCTAAAGATTTACTGAATGTCTACTAGGTTAGAAACTACTCATTTATAGTCAAATTTGCTTTAATAAATTAAATTGATGATATGTAATAGCAATTTGAATGTACTATTTATTTTCATCATTATTATACTTACTAAGAAAATATTCAAATTTTGTAGTTTCTGACACAAAGTGTTTCCAATGCAGGCTCGTAAGGCATCATATCTATCTCCTCTGAAAAAAAGAACATAACAAAGAAAACAAAAAAGCATTTAAAACATTAAAATTAGTTTCCTTGTTGACACAAATTTAAAGTACTTTAAATTGAAGGCAGAACTATTGGGGTATGTGATTTTGGAGCAAATGAATCCATAAGCTTTAATCAGATTCTCGAGATTTGTGACTCAAAAAGATGAATCACTGATACATATAAAAGTTGCAGTTAGCAACTGTTCATCAGAGTGATATTTTCAATGCTAACCATTCTCATAAAAATATATAATTTAAATCTTTATATTTATTATTTATAAATTGGTAAAGACATATGGCATTATTATGGCATGTCACCTCTAAAAGGGAAATGACTGCAGAAGTAAATGAGCTAGGTTTCAGGAAAGACATTTAATTTAAAACAACTGAATGTTTAAACAAAACTCTTTCAATCTGGTTGCCTATCACAAATATACAAATAAGAAAAAAAAAAACTGAAATCTTAGTATTACCGTGGGAGAAATTCTTCCTGTACTGGTTTGCTTAGGAACTTGACAATATCTGCTGCTTCAATGTATAACTTAAAGTAGAAGATAAAAAAAAAAATTTATTATGTATAGAATTTAAGAGAAAAAGTATTCTTTTCTATAGTTATTTAATAATTAAGAAAAATAATAAAATACCAATGTAGAATAAAATAAGATTCAAAATGTAATTGTTTTTATACATTATATACTTCTGTATTTTTTCATTAAAGCAATGATTAAAAATGAAGGATTTGTTAAAATATATAATTTGATTCATGTAATTTAGCCATCTTAAAGGTATTTAACAAACAAAAGAAAACTTCACTTCCATATCTATTTTATATAACTACATAAAAACTCTGGAAGACTCATTCAATTTTAGCTAAATCTGATAAGTAATGAAAACAACCAAAGTGTTGCCATCCCAAAATATGGCTTTTGGGGAATTGATTTTAAGCTGGTTATTAAAGACTTAAAAAGGTCCTCTAACCCTCTCACTTTACCTGCCTAAAGGAATTCAAATAGAAAAACATGCTGAAAGAAAGGGAGCGTAACTTTAGCAACATAAATGTAGCAACAAGGTAGGAATCTAGCAAAGCCTGTTTGGTGAACTTCCCTCTGCATCCAGAAAGACTGTTTACCACGTTTGATCTTTTTCATCAAGCTATAAATTGCCTTTCCCTTTGAAATCCCAGGCCCCTACCTCCCTCTCCTTTGTCCAGATGGCATATAAGCCTCAACTGCCCAATGCCTCTTAGGAGTCTTAATTTCTTATTAGACGCCCAGTGCATGAAAATTCGTGACTTGGGGACGGGGGTTTTGGGGGGTTCCTCAGCCCAGCCTGCACCCTCTTGCAATCTGGGACCCCTCAGGTAGGGTCCCTAGGCCTGGCCTGAGATCAGGGTCGATTGGGGCTTTCCTTTCCCTTACTGCAGGCAGCTGGCCCCACCCCTGCTGCTGTCACTGCTTGCCATCTGTGCAGTGCTGCTCCCCGCTCCTGTCACCGGTCACCTCCCTCTGCAGGCGACAGGCGTGGGGTGCGATCGCTTGATGGCCTGGGTCTCCCTTTGAGAAGCAATTGCTGGCTGGCCCCGCACACCAGCCACAGTACCGCTGGCTAGTGGCCTGGGCCTCTCTCTGTGGGGCGACCGATGGCAGGGCCACCAGATTGATCACCTCGCCGAGGGAGACCGGGAGGCCCCACCCACCAGCTGCAGCACTATGGACCCAGGTAGCTGGGGCCTCCCTCTTTTTTTTTTTAAAGTAAGAGTAATGTTTACTGAGCGATACAGAACTGAGTACTAAGAAGGGTTTACCAGGTTGAAAATGCACCGCACCCCTACCCTTGCCACCCCCAACACCCAGAGACTAGTGTACTTAGAAGTTAAACACACCAGCCATAACTGCTGAATATCTGTTCTTAACAAACCATAGCAATTTATGCTATATCACATCAAATGATTTTAGAAATCCATTTATATATTGCTCGTATAAAATATTTTTTTTTTGTAAAAAAAAATATTTTTTTAAAAAAGCAAGTATAAAAAACACGTGTAATTGAAAGCTCTGCCTGGACAGCCAGTCTGTAAACATTCAGAGAGTATGTGCTTTGCAAGGGCACCAGTGCCTTGTGCCCACAGCAATTCCAGCAGGGCGGGCAAGGGTGCACCCTGTCACTCTAGGCAGGCTGGAGCTGGACTACGGTGGGTGGGTACAGCAGGGCCTGGCTTGCACTAGGATCAGGGTCAGGGCCAGGGATGGGAGCAAGCAGATTGCAGTTTCACTCTTGAGTTCCATACTCAGCCTAATTTTGGCAGCAACTCATGGCTTTTTCTGGCTGCTCAGAGGTCCTAAGGTGGGTGACCTGGTGGAGAGGCTGAAGAAGTGCCCACAATTGGGCGTCCCCAGCCAGAATCTCTATCTTGCCTCCTGCAAGCCTGGCCCCAGACAGAACAGTCCTCCCTTCTCCCCTTCCAGGACTATTTTGGTCTCAGTGCTTGGTCCTGGGTTTCATCAGGACCTGGGTTTCTTCTCCTGGTGTGGCTGATCTTAGTTTCACAAAAAAACCCATCTAATGCTGGCTGTGCTGAGCCTCATTGAAAAGTTTTTCATGCAGCAAGGAAGAGCCCTCTGGGACCCTCCTCCTCTTCCCTTCCTCCTCCCAGCCCATGGTCACTTCTCAGCTGCTCCAGCAGTGGGTTTCCTTTTTAGTCGGGAGTCTTAAACGCTCTGTCCTGACAATGCAGGTGGGGCGATGCTGGATGAGCATCAGGATGAGGTGTGCTGCCGCTCCTGCTTCAGCTCCTCCATCTGGGTTTTCGGCTCTGCATTCATAAGCTCCAGCCACTCAGATTCCCACTGCAGAAATTCCATTCACTCCTTCTGTAGTTCCGGCATCAGGCTGCCAAAACTTTCTTTTCTCTGCGCCTTTTCCTTCACTCCTCTTCCTTGTGTAGCTCACTTTTCACAGGTTGAGGCTCAGTTTCACCTCCAGGAAGTGCAAAGGGGTGATTATGGGTCCAATGTTGTGGATGTCCGCATATTTCAGCTTCTCTGCAGCCAGGGCTGAGCCCTGGCAGAGAGTCCACAGTCATGGAAGGGTAGGGTATCTGCCCAGGCATCATAGCAGGAGTGGCAGTCCAGCCTTGCAGAAGTTACGGGCAGAGGGTGCAATCCCAGAGCCTGGGGCAGGCTGCAGGTGCCATGCCTGCTCAGGAGTCGCCGCCGTGGCACCAGCCCTGCCCTGCAGCATCCATGTCACCAGCACCTCCCATCACAGCCGCCCAGCATCCCTCCTGCAGGCTGTGGCAAGTGACCTGGGTTTCTTTCTTTGAGGTGATAATTTGCAGGCTCTGCCTGCTGTTCTCATCTCTGGCCTAACTGCTGGCCTGACTACTTGATTGCCCCTAACCACTTGTCTGCCTACCTGATTGCCTCTAATTACTCTGCCTGCCTAATCACCCCTAGCTGCTCACCTGCCTGCCTGACCGCCCCTCACTGCTTGCTGGGGGTTCGGGCCAGCCCTGGCAAGGAGCCATGGTGGTTCTGGTCTCTGGTTGTTCCACTGTTTTGGTCACTGGGCTTTTATTATATAAGATGGAACCCCCTCAGGTACATCCTTGATTACTGTTTGATAAGTACCTACTCTACATTTATTTTCCAGCTTCAGGGATATTATGTCACTTATAATTGCATACACTATAGAGGAAATGAGCTAGGAAGTCATAATTTCAGAACAAGTTCAAGAGTCCTGAGAGCCCATGAATGTTAACCTAATAATATAGGAGACTAAATATTAAGGATAGAAAATTCACACCCTAATTCTTACAAATGAGGGGAACATATCCTAGAACGCAACTCTGGATTATAATCCAATAGCCTCAATATATGTTAGCTCAATAGGAGTTTCAATCATAGATTTAAGTTTTGGTAGCATATTAGATCTCTCTCATGCATTGAAAATATTGTGAGATTGCTTTTATAATATATTAATACTAAAATTCCTAACAGACATTCATTATATAGATAGACAATTCAGCCTTAAATTTAAAACAATACTAAAATACAGAACTAACCCACTGGCACAAAGGAGAAAACTTTCCTGTCACAGCTTTCAATACTTCTTGGCTGGCAACACCTCCTACTGCTGCAGCAAGTGGGGGTAAAAAGCCTTGAGCAGTCCAAGAGAGCCAACGCACAATGTCAGCATTTACTTCAGGCTGAAATATAAGCCAGGAAAGACAATAGTAATAACAGTATTCACATAGTACACTCAAAATTTCAATGACTTAATGTGATAATTTTTATAGCTAAACTTCAAAAGAAGCCACTCAGCTTCTCTAACTAAATAGTTTTAAAATCCTGCCCAGCCTCTGTGAATCAGTGGATTAAGCTTTGTCCCAAGCAATGAAAGGTTACCAATATGATTCTGAGTCAGTCACATGACCAGGTTACAGGCCTGACTCCCAGTTGGGGTGTGCAGGAGGAGACAAAATGGTTGTTTTAAGATGTTTCCATCTCTCTCTTCCTCTCCTTTTCCTCTCTCTCTAAAAATCAATGAAAACATTAAAAGTTTTTAAGTCCTAAAAAAGTTCTATTCTTACAATAAAAGACCCAGTTGCATGTTAGTTTCCCAAGCAGTACATATTTCTCTTTACAGTACCTGCCATTTCTGTTTTCTTACTCGTTATGTGACAAAAACACAAGATTTAGAATTAAATGAAATATTTAACATCTATAGGTTTTGTTAAATAACAGTTCTGTGGTGTCTGTCAATAATTAGGAACAACCAGAATTTGTAAATAAGTTTTAATGAAAACTATGGAAAATCTTGAATAAAAACAAATGAAAATAAAATGATTCATATAAATGATAAGGAGCTGGCTATCAGTTTGTGCTCTAAGTAGTAAATAAAAAGAATATCTAAGAGTGTTTTTGTATTTATGATTGTTCATTTGTTTTTTGTTTGTTTTCTACATGAGTGAAATCATAAGGATCTTAATCTCTTAGACATTTTTCTAACCACTCCACATGCAATAAAAGGGCTTTTATTTATGACTAGTGATTCACTGTTTTCAGTAAACTTATTTTTTTTTCTTTCTTTTAATTACATAAAATATGAGATATTATTCGTACTAATGTTAAGTTCCATTTCTCCTTCATTTTTACAAATTAACAACAGAAACAACATAATTTTCACTGAGCCAAACCAGCTAGGGCAGAAACAACATAATTTTCAAATAATTGCATAAACATTGCTACATTTATATCTGCTACAATGAAACTGTTGGCCAGCAGGCACTAGCACTATAACATGAAAAAATTCATTTTCTAGGTGATATGTCCACATATGATATGCAAAATGCAATTGAGGGATATGAATAAATAACTTACAAAAGAGACAATTTATATATAGGAAAGCTAATGAGTTTATATAGTAGGTTACATATATTTGTTGAGTTAACAAACCAAGTAAATCAGAAGAAAAAATACTAATACTAAAAATAGACAGCAGTGGCAAATTTGAATTACTATATGCCACATACTGTTCAAGATACCTTAAAAAATTACATTATCTATTGTACACAAGAACTGTCTGAGGCATGTTAACATTTTATTTTTTAAAATATAATTTATTGATTTTGTACAGAGAAGAAGGGAGAGAGATAGAGTTAGAAACATCGATGAGAGAGAGTCATCGATCAGCTGCCTCTTGCACACCCCCTACTGGGGATATGCCCGCAACCAAGGTACATGCCCTTAACCGGAATCGAACCTGGGACCCTTCAGTCCCCAAGCCGACGCCAAACCCATTGAGCCAAACCCATTGAGCCAAACCGGTCTCGGCAGCATATTAACATTTTATAAATTTATAAATTAAGGCAGAATGCAGCCAAGTAACTTGTCTCCTGTCAGAATCAATAAGTAGCAAAGCTTAGATTTGAAGGTTAATAAAATATTAATATATAGAACATTTATATGTTACATTTTGATAGCTGTTAACTTTCAAAACTCACCTTCTCTTCCAAAGTTTCCCTTATAGATGTTGCTAGTTTCAACAGCTCTTCTGAATCTTTTTTGCATCTAGGATTCAAAACAAAGCACCCAAATTCAGTTTTCTCAAATGCAATAAACAAAGATCATAATCAAATCTAAGATATATGTAAGAAAATGTAGAATTCTAACAGGTAGAAGCACAAGTGCTTTAGTGACATGAATACTGGCTCACAAATATATTACTTTAAAATCATGCTCACCTAAGAACAATACTTCTGACTTAATAGGCTAAAAAATATTACATAATGGATTTCATAACTGAATTAATATCAGATTTTTCAATTTAAAAAGTTGTAGCTTTTGAAGAATTAAAAATGGGAAAATTCTTATTTAATGTAATTCCAATTTTATAAATTAATCTTTCTACTCTCACTAGGAAGTCATTAAAATATTTATATAGTTTGGGGTATGTACTGTTATTGCAATTTTAAGATGTTTAATTAGCTTTTAAGTATTTTAAACTATAATCTCTGAAATACTGTCTACCCAGCCCCAATATTAGAACATTTATTTAATTGTCATCTAATAATGTTCATAACATTTAAGGAAATTTTTCATTTTTTTTTTCCAACTAACAATGTTATACATGCTTCCATTTACTTCTAAATCTCTATAATTAAGAGTCAGGGTGTATGGATTGATCATGACCAAAGGCTGACTATTGAGGCTGCAGGCCCGGTGACACAGCAGTGACTGCTGAGGGGGCTTTGAATCAGTCCTGGAAAGATACCTGAAAAGAGAAGCAGGGGCTGATCTATAGCGTCTGAGACAGCTTTTAAACAGCACTAGCCTCTCTCTTTCCCTCAGAGCCTGGCCAGCAGCTGCCTCCATTTCTCTTCCAGCCTCCACTGGGGCTGATCATCAGCCCTGCCTTTCTGATCAGACCCTGTTGATAGGCTCAGAGATGCTGACTGGCATAGAAACTGACCAATTATAATAGAACCAAACTGGCCAGCAAAGGAGGGCAACTGGGGGCCAGATCAGGTCAGCAGGGAAGGGCAGTTGAGGACAAGATCAGACCAGCAGGGGAGGGCTGTTGGGGGAAACCAGGCTGGCAGGGGAGGGCAGTTGGGAGCAAGATCAGGTCGGCAAGGGAGGGTAGTTAGGGGTGATCAGGCAGGAGAGGCAGTTAGGGGCAATCAAGCAGGCAGGCAGGTGAGCTGTAATGAGCCAGCAGTCCCAGATTGCGAAAGGGATATCTAACTGCTAGGTTAGGCCCAATCCTGATCAAGCCTAAACCGGCAGTCAGACATCCCCCAAGGGGTCCCTGATTGGAGAGAGTGTAGGCTGGGTGCACAAATTTCCTGCACTGGGCCACTAGTAATTATATAAAAATAATATATCTTTTTCAACAAGTAAATGCAAATTGCATATTGTACCATTCTTGGTTTCGGCACTAAATTCACACACGTGCATGCACTTTAAACAGTACACTTGAATTTAACTATAATTATAACATCAAATACGTTTTCATAAACTGAAATACTGTTTTATAACAAAGAAAGAAGTTATTTAAAACAAGGAATATTACCCAATATTTGTCTTGCGACCATAGTTCTCCTGAAACTGGCCCAAGGCAAGTATAGCTGTGTGAATCTCTAAAGGTGCCTATTTAGAACATTAAAAAGAGGTCAATGTAATAGGTGCCAGACACTGTGCTAATTCATTTTAAAACATAATCATTACAATAAATTAACTAGCTTAACACTATTATTAACAGAGGAGGGAGCTGAATCTTCCAGAAGTTAAATGACTTGACTTAACGGCAATAAAGTAATATTAAATAATAGATTTAAGTCTCAATCACAAGTGGTATGACCAGTTTTTACTAAATTATCTATATGAAACTTAGAGTAATATCAACTAAACAAACGCATCAAAATATTTGTATAAGATCAATTTCTTTTTTCCTTATTAAAATTTACAAATTTGGAATCTGTCAATATTATTCTTTCCTTATCACAAATACGTTCACTGCTACAAAATTATATTCATTGATTTTAAAAAAATGCTTCCAAGGCTTTTTGAAAAAACAGCAGCTATTATATGAACTCTACATGGTTCAGAAAATCTTTTAATAAGAGTACCTTGCATAAATTATTAAAAACTGTCTTTTAACTATAAAAGCTAACATATCATTATAAAACTTTTTCCTAGGTGCCTCGTTAGCGCAGTAGGTAGCACATCAGTCTCATAAAACTTTTTCCTATTATTTTAACATTTTTTCATGATATAAATTTCTGTTCTAATCACTGGAAGTCAACTTTATATATGTGAAACAATCTTTATCAAGAAAATCTTACAGAAAGTTATATACATGGTTACTTCATTTTAACTTTATAACCTCTTATCAATCCCAATCCCCCACTCTGCTGCCTCTCTTAAAACCTCCTAAGTGTTTACTTACCTCAGGTTTACTAAAATCTGCAATAAGGCACTTTGGGTTTTTTATCTGCTTCTCCAATGACTCCTAATAGAAACAAAACAAAACAATTACTCCCTTGCAAGTGAGTGATTACTTGACAAAATATACAGAGTACTAAGAGTAACGGAGCTTTCTAAAAAATCTGAAATAAATATCATTGGGCTACTAAAGTTCTTTTTTTTTTTTTTTTTTTTTTAAGTACTATTAAGAATAACTTATTCACTAATCCACTGAGCTAACATTGATAGAGCTACTGGATCCAAATAAATTAAACAGGAAGCAGAATGATTTGATATTAAAGCCTACTTTCTACTGGAATACTGTCAATGCCATCTTGACCAGAAGCCTGGGCTACTAAGTTTTAGCTGAAATATAAAATAGCTCCTAATCTTCTTGTTATCCCCATCTTATTACCACACTTTTTTTTTTTTAATGTTAAATGCAATCAGGCAACTTGACCCACATAATAAATTTGGGAAGAAATGGTAAAAATATTTGTATATAATTGAAAAAAAAATCTATTGTTTTTACTGAAAAGCTATCATATTTTTCTGGTATCAAGTTATCAAGACTTGTGATGACTGACAAGACTAGAAAACTCAAAATTACAAAGACCAAAACACCAAATAACAAAAAAACAATAGCCCAGCCACCTACACAATCTGAAATTCACTTGAAGCATAAATATCAATTTAAAAATTGGGGACAGGGGCAAGAGAAAGTAAGGCAGGGGCAAATTTGACTAGTAGTAGTTATTTAATCTGTTTGTCGTTTTAACTTTGGCTTGAACAAAGCCTTGTAGAGGACTATAGTTAATAATTCTGAAAAAGTAAAGGCAATCTCATTAAAACCATGAGAACTTATAAGAAAAAAAACAGAAATGTATTAGCTTATACTGAGAAGTGGGCTAAAGATTTAAGTGGCAAGAGACTCCTGAGTTCCGTGATAAAAGTAGCCTTTCTCTATTTAGATACTTAAATTTTCCTTTTCAATGCCAGATGATAGGAATTACTTTATTTTTCCAAAATATACACGGTTTCTTAAAATTTTAAAAAATATTGCATTTACTTTAAACATGTAAGTGAATAATAAAATACACACTGTTTCAATGCTTATTAAATCTTTCTGTTTCATCTTTTGTTTTAGTAAGCAATTTTAAGACATATAGTTGACTCTCATGATTCACAAGGTATAGTTCCCTCAATTATATGCATATGGTATTCTAGCTGTAAAGTTTTGATTGATACCAGCTTATTTCCTTAGATTGATACCATTTTCCTCAAAGTGGGTGCAAATTAAAAGAATAAAATCTGTTCAGGCTTTAAATTAAGTGTTTGGTTAACTGACAATTCATTTTATTATTTTTTTCTCTTCTGCCATTCTTCTTTTGTAGAGAAATATTTTAAGCCGAAAAAGTAATACTTACAAAGTAAAATGTTTTAGGAGTCTTAACTTGGACAGCTATGCCTCCATGTAAATAAGGTTCCAGTCCTGTAGTATCACCAATGCTAAAAGAAAATGGTGATACCACTAAAAGAAAAAGGAAACCATTATTTATTGATATAAGTACTGAATTTGAAGGTTTATCAAGATGTTAATTTCCTATAACTTATAAAATTAAGATCCCAGTATAAATCTTTTTTTTGGGGGGGAAAAGGGGAAGAGAGGAGTATAGAGGTAGGAAGAAGTGTGGAGAGCTAGACAAACAATTTTTCCAATGTGAATTTAAGTACTTAAAAATAACTAAGAAAACTCAAAAAGGAAAAAAAATTAATGACAGGTGCTTATTAGCTATTTAAATATTTTATAAAGCCTCAATAATTAAAAATATTGGTATTAGTTACACATAATTAATAACAATATAGCATGGTACTAGCTCACGAATAGATAGGCAAACAGAATATATTAGAGAACTCAGAAATAGGCTCACAAGGGATACAATTAAGGAAATGGCACCTAAAACCAGTGAGGAAACGATAAGATTATTCAATAAAACTTTTGGGAAAAATGCCATCTGGCAAAATATCTATTCCAATTGGATAAATGGCTTATATGTCGAAGATGATGAGAAAAATATATTAAGAAAAAAGAATAGGAGAAAAATTTCTTCAAAACTTTGCAGTGAGGAAGGCTTTTCTAATAAAATAAAAATCAAAAAAGAAAAAATTTTAAATGATTTTACTATATACATAGTAAGCAAAGTCAAATGCCAAGCTAGGGAAAAAATTGCAATTTATATATATAAAAAAAAATCACTGACAGATATGCCTTATATTTTAGAATTCTAATGATTAAATAATGAACAAGTCAATAGGAAAAAGGGCAAATGATAGATGATTCACATTAAAGAACTAATAGCCCTAAAAGTTAAGAAAATGCACTTATCTCATTCATAATATGTAAAATGCAAATTTCAATTATACTGTGATACAATTCATTAAGTAATATGAAATAACATGAAGCCATTAAGAAAACTTAAAAAACAAAAAGAATGTTGTGTAATTTTTAATGTGAAAAGATCATGTAGTTATTTTGTTTAGTGAAAAGGCAAAGAGTAAATGGATAATATGATACATTGTATGTAAAAACATGTAAGAAAAGTCAGGAAGGACACATGATAAACTAAAAACCAGTGAATGGATGAGAACTGAGCGGGAACTGCAGATAGGCAGGAAAGTTTTCACTGTAAACATCTGATCTTTATTGTGTTTGAACAATTTATTTATTAAAAAAATTAAATGAAGTAAATAGTAAGTCCTTTCTCCCTACAAGTCTTAAATATATTAAGTAGAGAGAAAAGATCAGCAGAATAAATATCAAACTTAGCTACTGTTATCTCTGGAGCAAGGAAGAGGCTTAAAATAGTACTCATTTTAAATATGTGTGTGTGTGTGTGTGTGTGTGCGTGTGTATCTAGAATAACCATGTATTACTTTAACTATTTAAAAATGTTTTCCAAATAACAGAGAATTACCTTGGATGATTAAATACCAATTAATAAATGCTTAAAAAAAAGTTTTGTAAACAGTCACTTTATTTAAATATTCTATCGATGCCCTAAGAATTTTTGGAACAAAATGTGGGTTTTATTTCTTTTCATTCCTTGATATTCCAGTGGCTCCTCCTTTTATATGTATCCTCAAGAGTCTTCATCTATTATCACAATCTACCAAGTCTTGGACCCCAAAATAACAAAAGATAATTGAATCGTCATTTGCAAAAACAGACACTAATTCTTTAATACCAATGTAGTGAACCTGTACTGGTAATTTAAATATTTAGATGGAGACTGGGAAACAAAATCCAATAGTTTTGTTACTAAAGATGCATAAAAATATATCCAAAATTGTTTTTCTATAAAGAGTTTATATTAGGGTCTGATTTTCCTCTCCTAAGGATCCATTCTGTAGTCATTGAAAGAAAAGTAATTCATTTACTAGTCTATACACTAATCACATAATTATACTTTCAAATGTCCTAAAGATAAAACTGAATTAGGGAAGGGAGTAGAAGAAAGGGGTCCTAATATGAGATGACAGGAGATCTGACTTTGGGTGGTAGGCACATGGTCCTATATACATATTTTGTAAATTAGTAATCCACACATGTAACCTGTATGTTCATGTAGACTTATGTCACCCCAATAAAATTTAAAATATAACTTAAAAAAAACAACACCCTGAATCACTCTCAGCTGGATAAGTAGAAACTTGTTTGCTACAAGAAGTCTGGTGCTGTCTTTACATCTTAAATATGGCTGCAGGAAAATCTCTCTCTATTAGACAATTGCCTCATCTTCGTCCACTGAAAAAACATCCTTTCTATTTTTAGCCAACAAACTCAGAAACTTGTCTGCAGCAACAACCATTCATTTCTTTATTCCAAGCAACTGAACAAAAACACCTATCTCACTTGAATATTTCATTTCCACCTCACTCCAGAAGCCTAAAACTGTATTCATTATCTTTTCTCTAAATCTTACTCCCTTTCTTACATTCCCTAAATGAATAAAAATGTTGCAAATGCTGGAACTTTTGTTCACCTATGAGATATATAACATATAAAGTTCCCTCCAAAATGTCTTAGGACTCTTGTTATCTCAACTCCACTGTCAGTCCTGCCATAGTACATCTTTCAGTTCTTCGAATGTCTCTCCCTCTGCATATAGTAATAATCTTTGTACCACCTTCCTAAGTCAATCCAATCATCAAATTTGAATCAAGAAACCTTGTCTCTGCTACTATGGCACCAATACTGGGTAGGTTTCTTGTTAAGCTTATAAAGACTTATAAATGTGCAGAATAATGAATAAATATAAACAAATTAATAAAACAAATAACTTACCAGTTATCTGTTGTGTAGATCCATTTAAGCCTGTCATTCCATAAATTTCTCGAAATGTTAGAAATTGTCCTGTCTCAAGTTTGTGAGGATGATTTTCAAGGCAGGTGACAATGCCAGGATTAGCCTAAAAATAAGAGTAATCTACTAACAAACAAGTTCAAGTATTACTCTTTTACAAATTCCCAATCTCATACAAAAAAAATCATGTAATTATAAAATTCTCAAAAAAAGCCCCCAAAATTCCAAGCCATTCCTCTCTTCCTTTAGTAAAAGTAAGTCTTTAAATAAGTATAATAAAATAACGATCAATTTATTTTTTTATGAATTTCTAAAATATAATTTTTATGCTTGGGGGAAATAGAGATTCCAGTAAGAGTTCCAACGTTTTAAGCAAAGAAATACTGTGTAGTCCAGCCAGCTTCTCAGGATAAAAATAGAAATGAATTAGCATATTTCACCAAAGAGGATGGATTAGACAGGTGAAAGGCCAAGTTTCTAATTGCACATAATTCTGCACACTACTTGACTAAAGTGATAATAATCTATATGAAATCTAATGAAATTACAATTCTCTCTTTCATAACAGTGTAGATTCTAAAATTTATGATCACAAAAATGTAGATAAAAGTAATGTGATATGGCTTTGTTAATATCTCATGAAGAATAGAATTGACAAGAAATTTATTAAGGAGAAACAATTCCTTGCAGATAATTTAAATGGGTACATTTATGATATTTTCTAATTCTTTACGGATAATTTCATATTTCCTGCTTTATTCTATAAAAGAAAAGACCAGTGCAATACAAAAATCCATAATCTTTCTTGGAGCTTAGGCTAATTATATGATATTCTCAGAGACAAACAAAAAACAACTACAGAAGATAAAAGGCTAAATAATAAACCATTTTTAATAAAGAGATAACAGAATTTTTCAATAAATTTTTCTTAAAAAAGGTAACATTACATTGGGTTAAAAAAATAAAGCATAAAGATAATGTACTATCAAAAGTACATTATCATTCACTTATATTGACTTCTTTGGCTCTTTTAATGTAAACTGATTATAAAAGATGTGAATCCAGTTAATAATTTAGGCTAAAAAGAGAAAAAAATGAATTATAATGATTTTCCTTTATAGGGAATAAAAAAATTAAGCTGATCAAATACCTTTTGATTTGAAGATTAGTTAATTCTTACAACTCTTTTTTCCCCTCCAAATAATGTTTTAGAAATATAACAGCTTTTGTCTATGATAATTTAAGTGTGCTTCTCTCTAGAGTTACTATGTTGGGCCAGGTGACTTATGACAAAGTTACATCTATGATCTGACACAATGAACAATTCAATAAACATTGAATCACAGTGCATGTCCCATAGGAACATGACATAGAACAAAATTTATGACAGTGCCCAGGCCAGGTTGTTCAGTTGGTTGGAATGTCATCCTGTACACCAAAGGGTTGAAGGTTTGATTCTGGGTCAGGGCACATACCTAAGTTTTGAATTTGATCCCTAGTGGGTGCATATGGGAGACAACCGAGTGATGTTCCTCTCTCATATCGTTGTTTCTCTCTCCCTCTTCCTCTCTTTCTAAGAATCAATAAAATCATATCCTCAAATGAAGATTAAAATCTTCCTTCCTGGGAGAAGGAAGGCCTACTCTTGCATGAATTTTCGTAGATTGGGCCTCGAGTTGTTAAATAATTTTAGAAGGAATCAGGAATTCTCTTTTTAAAAAATATGTATTTTTATTGATTTCAGAGAGGGGGAGATAGAAACATCAATGATGAGAATCATTGATCGGCTGCCCTCTGCCTGCCCCCTACTGGGAATTGAGCATATGGCCTGACTGGGAATATAACCATGAACTGTTGGTTCTTAGGGTCCATACTCAACCACTGAGAAACATCGGCAAGGCAAGAGTACTCTTTTAATAATCTAACTTAAATTTAGCTTTACATATAATACAATAAAGACATTAACAAAATATCTCTCAGGAGTTACCTTAAAATCTTGTAAAACAACTAAAAAATATTGCATATTACAATATTTTGCTAATACCACCTTTAAAAAATATTCACATCAACTTAAAAAAATTAATCCTATATGTATGTATACAATATATATATATACAATCATACTTGCGTTATATTTGAAATGAAGATTTCTTTTGGTTCTTCTCCTGTTGTATCTAAAACTTCAAATTCATCACCAAAATCACAAAACAACTGTGACCAAATTCCATGTATATCTGCACTAATGAACTGTAAAATGATAAAAACAAGTTCAAGCTTATCTGTTTATATAAAAAAACAAAAACAAAAAAACAGCTCAACTACTATCTTAGGCTCTTTTATGACAATTTCACTTATAATTAAGTATTAATATATTGTTTGGGATATAAAGTAAAACATGAATAGAATAAATTATTTTCCTGCAAATTGGTTCAGGAATCAAGAACTTTGCTATTTGGGACTTGATATCTAATGTTACAAAATTAGAAGCAACATTAGTACATCATTATACATTTTATGATTTTTAGAGAACAAAAATTCCTACCTTGTCCTAATAGTTAAGCGTAGTATGTAAGAAGCAGATTATATTGATTTCATGGTCTAGCAGAGATTCTTACTTTACATTTCAGAAAAGAATGGTGTATCCATTCACCAAAAGCAATAGTTAATGGGAAACAGAACAGAACTAAAAGCTGAGAGTGGAGTCAACAGAAAAAGGGTTGAGCAACTGATGTATGGTAAAAATGAGGTTCTTCAACAGAATCATAAATTATTTAAATTAAATTTTTATTATACTACACTCTTCTCTATTTTAAATCTGTACAAAAACTCTTTTCATGTTCAGTTATTTTTAGAGTTATAGATACTATCTTACTTGATCATGTACTGCCTTTACTGGTCAAAATAGTACATATAGCCAATTTTTATAATATTGAGTAGAACTTCTATATATTTAAGTTTAAAAGCTCAAACTGAAGGACAATTTCTTCCTTTGCAAAACAACTTTTGAAATGTAAATATATATATCAACTACATAAACAAGGATTTTAGTTTATAAACTACTATAATTATTTTATAAAACTTACGTGACCTATTATAAATTTACTGACCATTCCATGTCTTACTCATCTGTTTAAATTATGAACCATAGCACAAATGTGCAAAGTTTAAAAACGCTAATACCGCAATCCGAAAGCACACCCATTTTATACAGTACAATTATGGCTTGGTGGCCATTTTAAACAGGATGAATAGCCTTTTCTAAAGGAACAAATGTCTCACTAAGGAGGGGGGATTAGCAATATGTATTCAATTGCAGAGAAGAATTTTGCCTTTTCTCATCTAAATCTCTTTCCAATATTCCCAGTGTCAATACTACTTACCTAATAATGTGGACCAAAAGCTAAGTTATTCTTGATCATTCTTTCCTTCACAACTCACAACTCTCAAGTTCTGCTAGCCTCTTCTTTCTTCTTTCTTCCCTCCCTCCCGCCCACCCTCCCAACAAGTTCAATAACTCACAATCCTTATTTGCTCTTCTATTGAATAAGGCACCTGGATTACTGCATTAGCCCCTTACTGGCCTACCTGCCTCTATTCTATTCATTATTCAATAGTGCTCTTTTTGGTTTCATGACCCCTTCATATTCCTAAAATTATTGAGGGCCCAAAGACCTTTTATTTATGCCAGTTATACCTACTAATATCCACTGTGTTAGATATTAAAACTGATAAAATTTTAAAACCCAAGAACACACACACACACACACACACACACACACACACACACACACACACACACACACTCTGTATTAGCTGTCAGAGCAATGGTATCATTACACATCAAAGAGAACCAGAGTGAAAAATGCAAATAACATTTTAGTAATATGAAATTTTATGAAAGGGTCCTTGGACCACACTTTTAAAAACAACTGCTAGAGTCTTCTATCCATTCAGCACAACCAGAATGATCTTTTAAAAATATAAATTAAATCAAAACTCAGACATTCTTAACTTTGATCTGTAAGAAAATGGTCTTCTATTTCTCCAACCTAATCTTCCAGCATCTTTTACTCCTACTACTCTCTCCTCTTTAACCAAACTCCCATTCTGGTCCTGCTTGCTTCCTTCTGCTTTTCAAACACACCAAGTGAAGTTTTATACTTGCAAGTCTTTACACTTGCATTTTTCATTGCTTTAAATGCTCTTCCTCAGATGTGTATTTAGCTGGCTCTTTCTTATTATTCAGGGCTCTATTCAAATATCATCTCAGAGAAGATGTCCCCTTACATTCTGTCTAAGAGAACCAGCACTGGGCCCCCTCCTAACTCTATTCTTTACCTAGTTCTTTTCTTCATAGGATCTGAAGTCTTACTTGTTTATTTTCATAAGTAGGGAAATCTATATGTTCTATTCACTAATGTATTCATAGTGTCTAGCTGTATATGTTTAATGAATTTGTTAAAAGAACCAACAATGTACCACCACACCATACTAAAGTTAGATGATGAATTAAATATTTATCATACTTTCTATTTCTAGTCTTTATTCTTCCTTAGTTTTGGTAAGCTATCTATATAAACCAAATTTAGATCTTAGTTTTAAAAATATGATACCAAATTTAAAGAGAAAAACATTACTGCGTTATTCTCATATAAAATGAGAGCTTTTATATACACTGTATTTTCCAGCTTATTTTTAAAATTTTTAAAAAGCCTGCTCAGATTGGCCAGAGTCAGAGAGGCGGTCTATTAAAAAAAAGAACTGGTGTTGCCTCGGAAGTGGGGGGTAGTCTTATACAGCGAATATAGACTAAACCTATGTTTTAACTGTAAAATTAGGGGGTCGTCTTATACACCCGGTCATCTTATACGCCGGAAAATACGGAATCCAATAAAAAGCTAAAAATTTTAATAGTGCAAGTGTCCTTCCTTTGGTTAATAACATGTCATTATTAAGTGATGCTATTACCTTAATTGGAGGACACTGAGAACGGCAAAAATCGTTGATTTTCTTCTGCAATGGAAGTCTCATCTCAGTCAATACTACACACTGTTGAGGGGAAAAAAAATATTAAAGAATAAAGAATACACAATTATTTTGCTAATGTACAACAACTAAATCAGAAGCATTTCAATTTATACTGAAAATACAATAGTATTCCAACCTAAAGTTATTATCTTCAGAGGAATGGAATAATAAAAGCAAAAACAACATAGATAAGGGAAAACCTATTCACATTAAATTCAATTACCATCATAGACTTCACAATTAGAAGCAAACTATCATTTCCTCTGGTATTTATGCACTCCAAATGATTAGAGTTTTTGTTTTACCTGTTACTGATGTGAAAATACAGACCTAGTTACCAGAATACTAATTTAAAGTATTTAGTTAGCCTAAAGGTTTAACAATAACATTTTTAAAGAGATATATTAGTTGGCTTAGATTTTTCTTACTTCAGAGATGTAAAAGATTCACAATATAACTACTTCTGCTTAACTACAGTTTCATTAGTGAAACTATGAAGTTCTGTAATAAATATCAAATTACAATTTTCAATGCTTTATTTTTTATCATTACCCTGTGAGACAGAGATTTTATAATCAGATTTTATCATAATTGATAAAGGTCAAATATTTAGCAGAGCTAGACTTTTAGTCCAGAGCTTTCCTTGTTGCTGGTATCCATGACTTATATTACTTAGTCTTACCACAAATATCCAGGTATTAATTTAGTGGCATACTTTCCATACTTTCTAAAAGCAGATTATTTCTCCATGGGTCTCTCACTTTTCATGGATCTCACTAAGTATAGTATGAATGTAAGGTTCTGACCATAATTTACTTGTGCCATTTATCAGGATAGTATTTATCTCATACAACCTGAGGAATGAGGTAATGTCTCCCTCTGTGACAAAGAAGGAAACTTGCTTATTGCTTATTGTAAAACATTAAAACCAAGCTCAGTGTTCCTCTCTTCTAAAGGAACCCACTACATGTGTCCTCTTGCACTTCACTAAAGAAGAAACAAGGAAAATACAATACTCATACTTCTTACCATGCTCTGAAATGTAAAGTTTTTAAGTCTGTAACCTAAGAATCTCATGTATTCTTGCCAGTGTTCATCAAACAGTAACACATTAACTTAGCTTGTAAATAGGATAAAATCAATTCTATGTATAGCCCGTCTAGTGTGGCTTAATTGGTTGAGCATCATCCCATGTACCAAGAGGACACCAGTTTGATTCCAATCAAGGCATATACCCAGGTTGCAAACTTGAACCGAAATAGGGGACATGTGGGAGGCAGCTGATTGATGTTTTTCTCATCATTGATGATTTTCTGTCTCTCCCCCTTCCTCTTTCTCTAAAATCAATAAAAATATACTTAAAAATATTCTAACCGAGTATATATTGAATCTAACTTATTTCATCAATATTACAAAGTTCCCAGCCAGATTTGGAGAATTGCTTCTTGTGGGGAAAAACTGACACATAAATGGTTACACAGTGCCTGAAGAAGAGCAGAGGAGAAACATAGGAGTATTTTTTTTTTTCCTAGACAATTGGTAACACCATAATCTAATCGTAAGGAAAACCAGGGTAAATCTATTCCCTTTTAGAACATCCACAGTGTTTAGAATTTTTTTTATTTAAGATTATTTTAAGTAGATCCCATGTATTACTTTTCTATAATTGGATTAGATACCACCTTTAGGAAGAGAAGAGTGTATTTTCCTGTTCCTTTACTTTGGGCTTGACTGTGTGGCTTGCTTTGGCTAATGTATTATTCAATGGAAGTAACACAGAGCTTGACATATACTTAGATGGTTGGTCCTGCCCCTCTGCATTTCTGCTACTGCCATGAGACCATGTGCTAGGTAGCCCCCTGATCCCAGAAGAGAGGCGTCTGGAGCAGAACCCAGACGTTGGAGTTCAAGTTCAATCTAGAATAGCTGAACTCCAACTGACATGCAAATACATAAGAAAGAAATGCATGTTGCTATAAACCACTTCATTTTGGGTAGATTTTTGTACACATTACTGTGAAAATAGCTGATGTATAATTGCTTTGTCAGAAGTTGATAGGCCCTTTGCCTAAAATAAAGCATTAGAAATATATTATTCTTAAGGAAGTCTTATCCTGAAATTTTTTGTTCTGCTCAATAGAATAGGTTAGATTAGTTATATCACATTAATACTTAATGATTTGCCTTGAAATCTGTCAATAATCTCCAATATTAAATGGTGCACTAACCTGGTATTTATCTAAGAAGGAGAGATCTGTGGTTTCATTTAAAGGAAGAGAAGATGATGTAACATGAACATATGGATTTAGTTCTGCAATATGTTGAAGAACAGCTTCAGCCCTTAAAAAAAGAATGAAAAAGAAATGACTTTTAGTATTCTTTGATTCTATATATTCAATCTTGGACACTTTTACATCAGAGGAATATGAATGTCACAAAATTTCAACAGAAATTTAATAAGCTATAGAAGAAAAAAGCTGAGACGTTTATATTTATAGATGACTATACAATCTTGAGATGTAGCATACTATTGTATTTCATAGTAAGACATAATCTCAAAGTGAACCCTTATAGTTTTAAGCTCCAAACTCTGTCTTTTAATGATTCAGAAATAATAAAGACTTCCTTTAACAATCTTTAAGAAATACATTCCTAGATAATAATGTGACTATATTAAAAATTTGACAAATATAAGTAAGTATATGTCAATACTTATTTTTTTATTTTTTTATTTTTAAATATATTTTATTGATTTTGTACAGAGAGGAAGGGAGAAAGATAGAGAGTTAGAAACATCGACGAGAGAGAGTCATCGATCAGCTGCCTCTTGCACACCCCCTACTGGGGATATGCCCGCAACCAAGGTACATGCCCTTGACTGGAATCGAACCCGGGATCTTTCAGTCCCCAAGCCGACGCTCTATCCATTGAGCCAAACCGGTCTCAGCTGTCAATACTTATTTATTGATGGTAGTGTGACTTTATGGAGATGAGTTAAACAACTATTATTGAACCAGTGTTGGAATACAGATAATATTCTAAGTAATTGCAAGAATAAAAAAAATGTCCTGCCCTAGCTGGTTTGGCTCAGTGGATATAATGTTGGTCTACATACTGAAGGGTCCCAGGTTTGATTCTGGTCAAGGGCACGTGCCTGGGTTGTGGGCTTGACACCTAGTAGGGAGTGTGAAGGAGGCAACCAATCAATGATTTTCTCTCATCATTGATATTTCTATCTCTCTCTCCCTCTCTGAAATCAATAAAAAGGGATATATGCACCCCTATGTTCATAGCAGCACAATCTACAATAGCTAGGATTTGGAAACAGCCTAGGTGCCCGTCAGCAGACGATTGATAAAAAAACTATGGTACATCTACACAATGGAATACTATGCTGCCATAAAAAAGAAGGAATTCTCATCATTTGCAGCAACCTGGATGGAATTGGAGAACATCATGCTGAGTAAAATAAGCCAGTCAATGAAAGAGAAACTCCACATGACCTCACTTATTTATGGATAATAAAGAACATTATAAACTGAAGAACCAAAAGATAGATATAGACAGTAAAGCAACAAGCAGACTGTCAAATTACAGCGGGGAGGGTAGGGAGATCTGGGGGAGATAAGAGATCAGCCGAAGGACTTGTATACATGCATATAAGTACAAGCAATGGACACAAAACTCTGGGGAGGGTGGGTATGTATGGGAGAGGGCAGCAATGGTAAAATATGTACACAGATAATTTAATAAAAAATAAAATAAAATAATAAAAAAATAAAATAAATGAAATCAATAAAAATATATTTTAAAAAATGTTTCCTATGATAATACATCAATCTTCACCTGTTTCTCACATTAACAACATCATCTTCACGGAGAAAGAAGTTGGTTCCTAGATCCCATGCTTGGCATTTTTCTACATCATGAATTGTAAGTGCCTTCAAAAAAAAAGGAAAATATCTGTTAAATTCAAAATAGGACAAGGATGTTCACCATCTACAATATTATTTACATTATATTAAAAATATTATCCTGTAATTAAACAATAGAAGTAAGGCTTAAGAATTAAATTAGTTCTATTCACAGATGAAATGACTATACATATCAGAAAACCCAGAAAAGTAATAAAAAAACTATTTCCAACAGTAAGAGAATTAAAATTTTTTGAAAGTAGCAAGTTAAATTATCACATAAATAAGCATTTCCAAATAGTCCATGTTCAAAATAAGATAATTGACTAACTATAATAAAATGTTTGTGACTTGAATTACAGACGACAAATATTAATTTTTAAAAAGGAGGCATGGGTCCTGGCCAGGTGACAGCTCAGTTTGTAGGAGCACTGTCCTGTATACCAAAAAGGTTGTGGGTCAGATTCCTGATCAGAGCGTGAACAGGAGGCAAGTGATTGATGTTTTTCTTACATTGATGTTTCTCTCTCTTTAAAAATCAATGAAAACATATTCTTGGGTGGATTTTTTTAATTTTTTATTGACTTTTTAGGGAGGGAAAGAGAGAGAGATGTGAGAGATACATTTATTAGTTGTCTCCTATAAGTGCCTGATGAAATGAAGATTGAAACCTCAACTCAGGCATGTGTCCTGACAGAAAAATCAACTCACGACCTTCCTGTGTATGGGAGGATGTACTAACCAACTGGGCCACACTGGCCAGAGCCCTCCCTCAGGTGAAGATTTTTAAAAAAAAAATTATATTAAAAAATAAAAAATAAATGCCTCTGGCCCTGTAAAATATTGAAGCGTGTTCAATCTTGCTCAAAAATGAAATATCTTTTCTCATTCTTTAGAATGGCATAAGCCCAAAAGTTTGACAACACACTCTATTGATAAAAATGAGGTGAATCAGGGATTCTCAATACATCAGTGGTAGAAATGTTGGGCTGCACAACCTCAATGGAAAAGAATTTTGCAATCTCTAGCAAAATGACATGTGCATTTATACTTTGATATAGCAATCCTGTCTTTAAAAATATATACCAAAGACACACTGGGAAAAATACAAAAAGATGTGGATAAGTATTAATTGCAACACTATTTATAATAGCAAAAGACTGGAAATAATCAAAACATCCATCAGTGAAGAAGTGGATATAATAATATATACTACATCGATAAAATGTATATCCATGCAGCTACTAAAAAAAGGAATATATGTAATTACCAGTATAGGTTAAATCCAGAACATGCTATTAAATGATAAAAAACAAGATGGAGGAAAGTATGGCTCTTTATCTAAGAAAGGCAGGTGGGAATAAATTTTATATGTACAAACACATATAAAATTTTCACATTTATCTATTTTGCTTATATTTAAAAACAGATGAAAAAAGGGGGTGAGCTAATAAGGAAAGGATAGTACAAGGTACAAGGAAGCTAGACTTATCTGAATACACTTTGTTTTATAAAACTGACTTTGAATTATTTAAGTGTCACATAGTATTAATACTATGTTAAATAAAAAAGCAATTCCTAAAAACCCAAGCAAAATAAATAAATGGACAAAATTACTATTGAATTTGTTACATAACTACCCAAAGGAATGATTTAAAGTGACTAAAAAAATCTTATTTTTAAAAAATTACTTAACTGTTCTTGGTAATAATCATATTGTTATTAATACTGGAATCGTTTTGCTAAAAAAAACTTTGCAATCAAAGACTACTGGGTTTGCCAAAAGGACTCAAGAACTTGAAGATCTGAACATGCTTTGAGCATCAATGAGAACAGCTACTATAATAGATCAAAACCTATCAAATCTGTGTTTGTTATCATATTCACACACACACACACACACACACACACACACACACACACACACACACTCACTGGCTACTGCTAGGGGATAATAGAAAAACCATTGATTTGAAAACTAGTAAATAAAGTGAGAAAATATCAAATATTTCTTCTGCTCTTCATATATGTACACTTCCGTGGAACCAAATATGTGATAAATGAAAAATTTTCTTTCTAAATATTATTCCAGCTAATAAATAAAGAAAAAAAATGGCAGAATTCGAATATCACTACCACTAATAAAATAATGAATCGAGGCAATAATCATTAATGGCTAGAAATAACAATAAAAAGAGACAATAGAATATTATTTCCTCCTCAGGGGAGAACAAATTATCACCTGTGAAGTAGTGGTGCCACAAGAATCAAATATGAATCTGACTGAATATACTACCAGTTTACAGGAAATACAGAAATAGAGGTATATGTGATGAATAATCTGGTTTCTTTAATAAATTGCAAGGGGAAAAAAACAAACAAACAGGGAAGCAAAATCTATAGATTAAAAGAAACCAAGTTTAGTGTGTGGACTTTAGTTGGATCTTGATTAGAACAAAATTTAAAAAATATGTATCTCAGAAGATAATTGGGAAAATTTGAACTTTAACTAGATATTTGATGATTGTGGTAAGCTTTTAAGATAGCCTCAATAATTCTCACTTCCTGGTATTTAGGTCTTTATGTAATTCCCTCCCCTTGAGTGTATAAACTAGATCTAATGACTTGCTTTTGAGGAATACAGCAGAGGGGATTGAATATCACTTTTGAGATTAGATTACAAAAGACTGGTCTGCTAGAACATTCCATTTCTTTTCTTCTTGCTAGCTTACCCTGATGAAGCAAATTGCCCTAATGAGAGGGCCACATGGCAAGGTATTGATTAACAGCCAGAAAGGAGCTGAGAATGTGAAGTGGCACAACTTTGCCACTGAATCCTTTCAACAACTACCTGAGCCACCTTGGGAAGCAAGCATTTCCTTACCCTAGATGACTGCAGACACTGCCAGTATCTTGACTGAGCCTTGTTAGAGACCCTCAAATAGAAGAACCCACTAAGTTGTATCTGATTCCTAACTCACAGAATCTGAGATAGGTGCTCTTTAAGTTGCTAAGTTCTGGGATAATTTATTTTGCAGCAATAGATATAGTGAAATTAAGAATCATTTTTTAGATGTGAAAATGGTATTGTAGTTATATTTTCAGAAGGGACCCTTATTTCTTAGAACTATATACTAAAATATTTCTTAGAACTATATACTAAAATGTATAATAGGAAATCTGAGACTTATGCAAAAATAATTTTGTGGTTGGGGAAGGCACTGGGGAATGGGGAAAAGATACATGAAAACAAATTAAAATTTGACATGAGTTAATAATAGTAGCTGCATGATGGGTACACGGGGTTTTGTCAAAACTATTTTTTATATTAATTTTTAAATTTTCTATAATAAAAAGTGTTAAAAACTGAAGCATAGAATTAAAACAATTTTGCTATTAAATAAAAAAGTAATAATTAATTCAAAGTGTAAATAATATTACCACTACTGAGAAGCAAAAAAGAAAAAAAAAAAAAAAAAAAAAAAAGAGTTCATAACAAATAATTCTCTTTACCAAGGACATTTACTCACCTTAATTCCTGCAAGAACAAGATTCTTTGCTATAAAGAAAAATAAAAATAATAACTTAATATTAGGAATGTATAACAGATATGTCTTCATGGAGCTTCATCACATCTGTCTAAATTATTTTAACTTTTTTACTACTTAAGGAAATATATGTCCCTAAGAAGATATAGATTAACAACAACAAAAAAATTTCCTTAATCATATCACACTGAGATAATTACTCTTATCATTTTAGTATATTCTTCCAAACATATCATTATAAATATACGTATAAGTGGTCAACCATAATGAATTAACAAATACAGTGAATAACCACTAATGGCTATTAATATCACAAAGAGAACTAAGAGAGTCATCACTAGTTCTTTCTGGAAGACTATAACAGTATTGTGAAGTAGTCTTGCCAAAAGAATTAAACCTGATCAAGGTTTTAAATTTAATTTTCCTCACAAAAATAATACATGGGGAAGGTGTTAAATCTTTAAATTATGCTCAAAAGTGTCATGTAAAATTATAAAAAAAAAAAATTACTGCTTACCAATTTCCAAACCAAGACCACCCATACCACTTAAGAACACATGGGACTTGGCCATCTTCTGCATTGCTGTGTCTCCAAGAACGTACCTCTGTCGACTATATGTAAAACACATATGAAAAACAATAAATTAAGTCATCAAAATTATATATCCTTTTAAAGTTGTTTGCAAACAACCTGGCAACCAGATCCTGCCCAGAGACTCCTTTTAGATCATTTGTATAGTGTTTACATTTTCTAAATTAATTGCTAAATAAAGTATGAAAAGTGGATTAGAGACAAGAGTAGCTCTAAAGAGATCACAGGAAAGAATAATAGTTCACAGAGAGATGCCAAATGTAGGGAGAGGGAATGAAAGATATGGAATTAAGATTTGTTCAGATAAAGAACTAGAAGGATTTAAAAAATTAAGTGAATTTGAAGGATAACAAATAGGGAAAAAAATCTAAGATGACACCACATTCCTATAAGCATTTAATTAAGCTTAGGAAAAGGAAGAACAAAGGATCCAAATGGTGTTGAGTGCTACTTTATGCCAAAAATTAGTACTCAATAATATAAATTTATATTACTAATTTTAGATAAAAATTTTAGACAAAGATGTTATTCTTTTTTTGTTTTATTTATTTTTATTCTTTATTAAGGTATACATATGTGTCCTTATTCCCCCCAATATCCCCCAGGCTCCCACTTATGCCCTCACCGCTCTGGTGTCCATTGGTTAGGCTTATATGCTTGCATACAAGTCCTTTGGTTGATCGCTTCCCCTTACCCCCACCCTCCCCTACCTTCCCTCTGAGGTTTAACAATCTGATTGATGCTTCTGTCTCTGGATCTGTTTTTGTTCATTAATTTATGTTGTTCATTATATTCCACAAATGAGTGCGATCATGTGATATTTCTTTCTCTGACTGGCCTATTTTGTTTAGCATAATGCTCTCCAGTTCCATCCATGCTGTTGCAAATGGTAAGAATTCCTTCTTTTTTACTGCAGCATAGTATTCCATTGTGTAGATGTACGTTTTTAACCCACTCATCTGCTGATGGGCACTTCGGTTGTTTCCAAATCTTAGCTATGGTAAATTGTACCACTATGAACATTGGGGTGCATATATCCTTTCTGTTGTTAGTTTCTTGGGATATATTCCTAGAAGTACGATAACTGGGTCAAATGGCAGTTCCTTTTTTAATTTTTAAAGGAAACTTCATACTGTTCTCCACTGTGGCTGTACCAGTCTGCATTCCCAACAGCAGTGCACAAGAGTTCCTTTTTTTCTGCATCCTCACCAGCACTTGTCATTTGTTGATGGATAGCCATTCAGAGAGGTGTGGGATGGTACCACATTGTCATTTTGATTTGCATCTCTCAGATGATTAGTGACTTTGAGCATGTCACTAAAATTCTATAGTAAAAAACCCAAAAACAAAACAAAAAAACACCCACAAATAATCTGATTTAAAAATGAGCAAGGACTAAAAGAGATATTTCTCCAAAGGTAACACAAATGTTATGTGTTTTATGAAAAGATGCTCAACATCACTAATGATCAGGGACATGCAAAATATCAATATCACCTTATATTTGTTAAGATGGCCATTATAAAACAAAACAAAAAGACAAAAACAAAATTCCATAAAATAACAAGTGTTGGTAAGGATGTGGAGAAATCTGAATCCTTGTAGAAAGGTGTTGGGAATGTTTTAGTCTAGAAGTAATAGAAAACAATATGGATGTTCGTGAAAAATTTAGAGAAAATTTTAATAAAACTACCTTATGACCCAGAAATACTGATTATACAGGTACTACTATATACCATACCTAAACGGCTATATCCTAAAACTTTCAGTCAAGCAAACTGCATCCTACTTAGATTGCACTGCAAACAAAAAATTTAATCTCTGGCTTACTGAAAATTATATTCATTAGTCACCAATTACTGGGTTGGAGGGATATAAAAGTTACACAGGGATTTTAACAAAATAATAAATAAAATTAGCAAAAGAGTTCAAAGAGCTGCCATTTGTTATCCTAAAAATATGATCAAAAGGACATTGAGAACAACATAATTATAGATTAAGAGTCCAAATGTAAAATGACTTCTGAAGAATATTGATAATCTGGGGAACATAAGGTAAAATAATTCTCACTTAAGCAAAATCAGGTTAGTTTTTCATCTACTTTTCCCAAATGGATTTGAAGTCAACATATCAGCTCATTCTAAAGTATTCAAAAATGACACTGTATCCTACATTAAAAATATACAGAGGAATTCAAAATATACAATGGGCTAATCTCTCCAAATTTTATCTACATAAAATTTATTTTTCGTGATTACATGAGAGGAAACCCAAAAGCTTTAAAAATGTGATACTATCTTATATACAAAAAACTTGAAGTACTAAAAAAATTCTTAGGAATAATAGCAACAAATGTATTTTCAACTTAACTTTAATTTTGAAAAAAACAAACAAAAACAAACCGATTTTGATTTCCTGAAAAAGTATGGTTAAAAAAAAAAGTCTCAATAAATTCCATTAAAATCACAGCTCTTCAATCACACAATAGTTCTCCATTATTTATGGAGTGCAAAGTTACTAATGAGATTATACTGACATAAACATTCTCTATATGCTACCATGTAAGTAAATAAAGTAGAATGGGTTGTTTTTCATGAGACTCCTGTATTACCAAGAACATAAATATATATTCCTGTACAAAAACAAGAGGTATATTTTGTGGTAGATCGCAGGATCATTCTTAATCATATCACTTAAAGCCAGCATGTCACACTCATAGCTAACAAGGGCCACAGAAACAAGGTTTAAGTTTATGTGGGCCGCAGAAAAACAAAAGCTTCAATTTTCATAGAAACGTATGTTTATTTTGATAGAGACATGCTGAATACAAAGGGCTGAAATAAATGAGTAATTGTTAACATAAGATAATAGAATATTTTAATAAAAATTAGTATTTTTTTAACATTAACTTACCAGACACTGAATAACTACACAAATTAATAAGTGTAACGCAAATAAACCTATTTTTCATGTCCTCCAAAAGAGAAAAGTTTCCTATTGCGCACACCAAACAAGTCAGTCCAAGACTAATGATGTGGCAATTAAGCTGCTAAAATATTCATGGAGAGAAATGTGCGCCTGCGCATAAAAGGCACGTAAGGGAAATTAAAGCAATACAATTATAGTAACCAGTCATTAGTGAGCGTTATAGTTCATTATTAGTAATTATGTATAACAGGATATTGTAAAAATTAAATTATGAAATTTTTATTAAAACGTTTCTTATATACCGTTATATTAGCTGGGCCACAAAAATTCGTTGTGGGCCTCGAGTTTGACATGCTTGGCCTAAAGCAACTGAGATTTAAATATTACTCTAGATTTCAGACTACATATAATTTAAAAAAGAAGTTGCAGAAAATCTAACTTTAACTCAAGAGCAATTCTAAGATAAATTCACAAACTTTGGCATAGGACTAATGGTAACCTCAAATAGACTACTTCATTATTTGAGAACAAAGAATGGGAAAAATAAGTTTCAGTTTCCATAAGGTTCTTACCTGTATAATGCATCATCAATCTCTACAGATTCTGCTGACATCATGGGTAAATGTGTATTTGAACTAAAAAAACAAACAAAATCGATAAGGGCAAGCATGATTAATTCAATATTCACATCCTGTAATTAACATTGAATTATACATACTATCAGATTTACCAGTTACTAACGGAGTTTTTACAAATCAGATATACTACTTTACTTGGATTTAAAAATAGGTAAAAATGAAATTCAATGATTGCATACTCCTTCTGTGTTACTGCAAAATTACAGCCTATGGTTGTTTTAGTCTCAGGTATTGTTTTATCATTGATTCTGTTGGATCTATATTTTTGTTGTAGTGTCCCACAAACCTTCTCTAATATACAGTTTCCCTAGATAATCTCATTCAACCCATGGCATTTACTATATACTGATGATATCTAAACTTATTTCTCTGTGTTTGATCTCTCCTCTGACATCTAGATTTTATACATTTTCCAGAAAAAAATCTCTAGTTTGATGTCCAATTAGTATCACAAATATAATAAGCCCAAAACAGAATTCAATCCCCCTGCTTAATCTATTCTTCCCCAGTGCTTCCCAACTCAGTTTCTGGTACTACCTATCATTTACTTGCTCAGGCCAAAAAAAAAAAAATCTAGGGATCTCTTTCATTTGTCTCCCATTTTCTTCATCTGTTAAACATTTCCTTCAAAGGAGATCTCAAATCTGATCACTTCTCACTATTTTAATATATATAATCTCAAGCCAAACCACCATATATTATATCTGAACTACTTCAAAGGTCTCCCAATTACTTCTCCAATTTCAACTCCCACAACTCTCCCTCTTACTATCTTCAGCCTCACTGGCCTACTTGCTTTTCCTCAAAAAGCCAAGCCTGCTTTTTTTACACCGGCTATATTCTCTCTGAATACTCCCTCACAAATATCATGCAGACCATTCCTGATCACCCTTATCAACGAAATGGCTCCCCTTCTCCTTAGGTCACTGCCTAATATTTTCACACCTGCTATATTTTCTTCAAATCACTTATCATTAATTGTTTATTGTCTGCTGTCCTCTATAGAATGTACGATCCATTAAGAAGTCACTACTGTACCTAATAGAGCTGGCATTTAATAAGAGTTAACAGCGTGCCCATATCTTTTTAATTGCTTTAGATGTATTAACTCAGCTAATCCTATCAACAACTTTATGAAATAGGCACTATTATCATCTTCATTGAACAGAGGGAATAAAACAAAACATCACAAAACTAAGGATGACTTAAATAACCTTCCTAAAGCCATAGCAGGTAAATGGCAGAGCCGGAAGCTGAACCTAAGCAGTCTAGCTGGACACCAGGCTATACTGCCTATTACCTCTTACGTAGTAGGAATAAAGAGAATACTCAAAAAATATCTGTTGAGCCAAAACTGGTTTGGCTCAGTGGATAGAGCATCAGCCTGGGGACTGAAAGGTCCCATGTTCGATTCCGGTCAAGGGCATGTACCTTGGTTGTGGGCACATTCCCAGTAGGGGGTGTGCAAGAGGCAGCTGATCTATGTTTCTAACTCTCTCTCTCCCTTTCTCTGTGTAAAAAATAAATAAAATATATTTAAAAAAATATCTGTTGAGTAAATTTTAAAAGTTAAATATATCAGTGTGACAAGACATACTTATATAATGTATCATTTATCATAGCTCCTCCCAAGTTTTTTAAAGGTTGACAAAGAAAAAGAAAAAGTAATACAAAGAAAAAGTAATAGGAAAAGCACTGAGAACAGAGATGGTTCCCTGGTGGAGGGAACCAGCCTGAGGCATTTGGACGTGAGCCACTGTGACAGCTAAGAGCTAAGATCAGTATCATCTTAATAAAAGTATAATCCATTCCATATTCTGGGAAGCTTTAATTATCCATTACAGGATTCTAAAAACAATGTGATAGCAAGGAAGTTCAGTTTTAGAACCTATTTTTTTTTTTAAGGCCTGGTATCAATACTATACTAATAAAAGGGTAATATGCTAATTAGACTGGGAGACCTGGACAAAGCCATGGTGGTGGGGCCGAGGTGGTTAGGGGCGACCGGCAGGGGAGAGTAGGTGGGGATGAGAAGGCTGGCAGGGGGTAAGTTGGGGGTGAGCAGGCTGGCAGAGTGGGCAGTTGGAGGTGAGCAGGCTGGCGGGGGAGGGGGGACAGTTGGGAATGAGCAGGCTGGCAGGGAGGTGGTTGGGTGCAAGCAGGCTGGTAGGGGGGGCAGTTGGGGGTGAGCAGGCCAGAGGTGGGGGGCAGCTGGGGATGAGGTGGCCAGCAAGGGGGTGAGGGGGAGGGTGTTGGCAGCTGGGGGCAAGCAGGCCAACAGGGGGGGTTAGTTGGGGGCAAGCTGGCCGGTGAGGGATGGCAGCTGGGGGGGAACAGGCTCGATCCATGTGGGTCCAGGCAGGGTTGAGTCCCCACGCCCCCCCCCCCCCCCAAATTTCAGGCACTGGGCCACTAGTTGATATATTTCAAAGGATATATATATATATATTTTATATATATGCCTAACATGCTAGTGTCCAACCATTTGACCAGTTGTTATGATGCACAATGACCATCAGGGAGCAGACGCTCCATCGTAGGTCAGCTTGCTGCTGGGGTCCAGAAGATGGGGACTGGGAGAGACAGGACACACCCTGGAGCCCTCCTGTGGTCCTTCCCCAGATGGTGGGGTCCCGGATTTCGAGAAGCTGCAGACCAGGCAGAGGGACTCCACCAGTGCCTCTAGTTTGTAAGTATAGTCAATCAAACGTTATCATTGATCTTACCAAACATGAGCCATTAAATATTAGCTTCTAGTTAATTAATGGATAACTGTTAGAAATATACTTGATTGCAATTATGAAAACAAGCCAGAAAAATAGCTGTGCTTAAGAGATCAACTTAATAAAAATGCACACATCCACTGTACTAATCTGTTTTGGCACTGTAACAAAAAATGAAAATAAAATTTCGTATTATAGTTTTCTCATCCTCGGTACACGTTCTCTAGCTGTCTTCCTCCCATCCCTTGCATGGAGGGCAGAAACCTACAGGGTACACTGAAAGTGAGAAGAGCCACGGTCTAATCAGCCAAGTCACTTACTGTGACTGGCACTTTTCACAAAAGTCCTGCCTTACTGGAATGGTTCAAAAGTCATTTTTTTTGTAGTAAAATCCATAGAGCCATCAAAAATGCTTTACAAAGGGGGGGGGGGGGGGGGAGTTTCTGTTAGTATTGCACAATGTCCCCCAAGGGAATGTGGCAGTGTTGGCAGGGGCAGACAATACCCCAGCAGCCGAAGCATCCCGTTAGGTCTGATGCTCGTGAAAAACCAGTCTGGCTCAGTGGATAGAGCGTCGGCCTGCGGACTGAAAGGTCCCGGGTTCGATTCCGGTCAAGGACATGTGCCTTGGTTGCGGGCACATCCCCAACAGGGGGTGTGCAGGAGGCAGCTGGTCGAAGATTCTCTCACATCGATGTTTCTGACTCTCTATCCCTCTCTCTTCTTCTCTGTAAAAAAAATCAATAATATATATATTATTAATATATATATATATATATATATATATATATTTTTTTTTTTTTTTTTAAGCTGCAGGTTTATATCCACCACTTGTACCTTGGGCAGATTGTATTCTGACAGTGGGTTAGTGGGTGGGACACAATACTCCACTTTATTAATTAAGATAATTAAAACAGGAATTACACGAACACCTCCCCCTCCTTCTCATCCCCTAATTTTCCAGGAGCGAGCCGCTCGTGACACCAGCTGGGGAATAAGAATGGGTACCTCGGGCTTCTTCCGGATTTTTTTTTAAAATATATTTTATTGATTTTGTACAGAAAGGAAGACAGAGGGATAGAGAGTTAGAAACATCGATGAGAGAGAATCATCGATCAGCTGCCTCCTGCACACCCCCTACCGGGGATGTGCCCGCAACCAAGGCACATGCCCTTGACCGGAATCGAACCCGGGACCTTTCAGTCCCCAAGCCGACGCTCCATCCATTGAGCCAAACCGGTTTTGGCCCGGATTTTATTTTTTTAACTGTAGTCCTCGGGTGTCCGGTCCCTGATTCATTAGGACGGAGCTCCCTCAGGGAGTCCTGTCAGGAGGAGGGGGATCCCCGCGGGGGGTCGCGCCCGGAGCGCCGGGCCTTCCCCGGAGCGGCGGGAGGGCCGGGGGTGCCCTGAGGGCGGCCACAGGTCTGGGCGGCGGGCCGGCCGCCCTCCGGTCCCTTCCCGCCCGGCGGCGGCGGCGGCGGAGGGAGACCCCGCCGGGCCCTGAGGAAACGCTGAAAGGGGCGGCAGTGGATGTCCCCCTCAGCGAGGCCGGGAGCCCCGCAGGCCAGAGCCCGGGCCGCCACACCCACCCCGGGGTCCCCGCGCCTCCCCGGCCGCCCGGCCCGGCCCGGCCCGGCCCGGCCCGCGGCCTCGCGAGCGCTCCCTGCCTGCCCGACGGGGAGAAGCAGGGCAGCGGCGCCGGGTCCGGCCGCGCCCCGCGCTCTCCGGCGCCCACACGCGGCCTCTCACCTGCCGGCCTCCCAGGAAGAGCAGGACGCCAGTTCCCCGCGGGGAGCGGCCGCGGGCCCGGATCCCTCCTCCATCGCCTCCGGAGAAACGCCGCGCGCCGCGGGCGACGGGGCAGCCAGGCGAGGGGGCGGCGCCGCGGGGGTCAAGGGGCGGGCGGTGACGTCACCGGAGGGGGCGGGCCTGCGCGGCGCGCTGCCGGCCGCGCCTTCCCGTCAGCCCCTGGGGCGACCCAACTTCCGGTCTGGGTGTGGCCGCCGCGGCGGCAGGTGGCTGCAGGGAGAGGCCATGTGGAGGGTGATATGGAGTCCGCCCAGGGTATTGGGATCAGAAACAGTCAAGTTCACGCTTCGCCTCTGGCTCCCCGGCCAAGCGCTGGGGATGCCAGTGGCCAGCGAATGGATGGGGCTGCCCATCAGGATTCTCCAGTTTTGTTGGGAGAAATGGAACCCCCCCCACACCCTTTTAATTTTATAAATAATCAAAGAGTAATTAATAGGTAGCTCTCGATTTCCAGCCTGGGATTCAATGTTAAGACGTTATACGTTTGACAGATACTTTTGCACAGTTCATGTCAGGCACTGCCACAGGTTTACTAGAATCATGTGATTTTTTTTTTTTTGCATCTATAAATAACTATGCCATCCGGGTTGCCCCCTTCACCTTCTGGGTGAAGTGACAGTGTAAGTGACTTCGTCAAGGTCAAAGAGCTGGTCGCACACGTCTAAGAACCTTTCGTCTAATTCTCTTGCCATTGACTTCCCTTTTCACCTTTCTTGGAAAACAAGAATGAGTGGGACACAATAACAGTAGGGTTTGTCTTTCATTCTAAGAAACTTCTGTAGGATTTTTAATTGGCATATACCATATATATATTAAATAATCTTTTGCAATGTGTGATATTTTTACTTAATTAGAACTTTTCCTCTAGTGTGGAGGGAGGGACCAGACAAAACTGCATTACTCTTTGTGCCTCTCCATTCTCTTTTCAAAACTACATCTTCAATTACCTGAAAACATGCTGCTCAACTATGGCATCATTCAGGTTTCTCAATCCAGTTATGTAACTTTCAACATAACCACTAAAATTAAATTTGTCTACGTCCCATTTTTTCAAGGTTCTGCTCAAGCACTAGGCTTATCCTCCTGTCTTTTTATTCTAAAGGAAATAAATATAAATATATTTGACCCACTCCACAGATAATGTCAATTTCCCTTTTTTTCTTTCCTTTCTAAAAATTGAATGCCCGTTAAACTTTGGGACCTAATAACAAGACAATCATAAGGTGATAGAGAAGCAGTGATCCCTGAATTCAACAGTCCCCTTGTGAAAAGCCAAAAAACAAATGGAAAAATAATTTCAGAAAAGTAAACATAATGAAGAAAATAAAAAAATATATAAAGGAGTTAGAAAGAGACTTTGGGGGTGAGGGAAAGGAACACAATTTTAGATAGTCATAGAGGGCCTATTTGAGAAAGTGAAATTTGAACCCAAACCTAACGTATGTGAGCCCTGCCAACAGATATGCTAGCAGAAGAATATTCCACACAGAGAGAAATAGAATATTCTACACAGAGGTAAATGCAAGTGTAAACTTTTTTTTTCTTTAGCATTTATCACTTTCTGGTGTATGTTTATCTGTTTATATATTGCCTGTCTACCTTTAAAAGGGACTGAACTTCTCCTGAAGAAAGAGATTCAAAGAGTGAGGAACAATTTGATGTGAGAGAGATTCTACGTTGCTTGCTTTGAAGAGGAAAGGGACTCCTAGGAAAGGGACCTCTAGGAATGGCCTCTAATTTCTGAGAGTGGCTTCCAACTGCCAGCCACGAAGAAAATGGAGATAATGGCCTATTGCTGCAAGGAACGAAATTTGGTCAACAACCTATTGGAGCTTGGAAGAAAACCCCTAAGCTTCAGATTAGAACACAGCTGATACCTTGATTTCAACCTTATAAGGCTTTGGGAAGGGAACCCAGCTATACTGTGCCCCGAGTTCTGACTTGCAGAACTGTGAGCTAATAAATTTATGATTTGTGGTTTTTGTATTTAGAAACATAATATATCATATTTCACCCAAAACCTACATATCTTGACATGTTAACATTCCTGAAATTCGAATGTATTTTTCCTTTTTAAAAAAATACAGAAAATAATAGTACTCTTATAATTGAAGTCATCTTTGATTTGGTGAAATATTTCAAACATACAGTATAACAGATACCCAGATTTAATAGATTTTAATGTTTTGTCACATTTTCAAAATGGGAAAATCAAACTTTTCTTAATAAATCTTTTCTTGCCAGAAGAAAATAGAATGACATTTAGGATTTTCAAGGAAAAAAGTGTGCTCAAGGATTTAATATTCAGCAAAACCAACCATCATGTACAAAGGGTATAAACTATTATCAACACTTGATATGACATCAGTGTTTAATGAGACAACTGTTCCTATGAGTCCTTCCTAAAGAATTAGTAGAGAAAGCATCAGACAACCAATATGACTAGAAAAACATCCACCTAAATCTTGGTGCAGATTCTTACTGGAAAAAAAAAATTCAACCTTTCGTGTTTATTAGTTTTTATATTCCTTTTAGTTTATTCTTTGTAACTAATTGTCCTGATTTTCTGTCACCTCATTCTTGAATCTTCCTAACCCCTCTCCCAGTTTTCTTAAGGTATAGTTGACAAATAAAACTAAGATATTTAAAGTGGACAATGTGATGATTTAATATATGTATATACTGTAGAAAGATCTTCCCATTGAGTTAATTAACTGAGATTTTTCTAATTCTCCGTTAATTAGGAAAATTAACTACAATCTATTTAGATAGATTTTAAATCTATCTTGTTTTTTATATTTGTATGATTTTCTTAATCTCATTTAGTTAGGTGGATCCAAAACAGTAGCTTAAGGTTTGATCTATTTGGTGGTACATCTTTCAGGCATGCTTGCATTATCTGTAATGATGATGTTATGCTCCTTTTTATTGTTTTTCTTTGCATGGGATTTTTTTGTTGTTCATTTTTATGTGAAATTAAAATGAACTTCCTGAACTTTTAGTGTGATGCAGACTTCCTAGTTCAATAAGCCTAGGCCCATGGGGAATAAAACTATATTTCAAGAAAGTCAGGTTTCTGGCCCATTGCAAGGAGGAAGCCCATATTCCAGAAGAACCATGACGTGCCTTAACAAACAAAGGAAAAGTTAGGTTTATTATAGGAATTTTGGGTGGTGTTGAGTTTCGGAGAAATGGAAATGAAGTTTGAAAATGTTTTGATAGGTTCAAAAGAAAGCAAGGCTGTATGTAAAGGGGTCTACATTATGTCTGGACTGCAACATGGACCCAGGGTGCTGATTTATTGGAAACTAAAATGTTTAAATAGGTGTGTATTTGCAATTCAGTAGAAACCTCATTTGTTTAATATTATATGACCTTTCTCCTTTCTTTTGCACTGGTTTAATTCAGCACCCTGATGCACCTGCCCCTTTCTGCCTTGTAGGACAGTTCCCTAAATCATTAAGCCCTCAGGACAATGAGGTTCTGAACACCAAGTAATCTTAGGAACAAAGCCTTAGGTCTATTGAACCCAGAGATGGAGTTTTGGTCAAACTAGAGATAATGTGTAGGCCTCAGTTGTGTTTTCAGCTCAAAGAAGAATCTCAGTGACCACATCCTAGAAAACAAACAAACAAACAGATAAAGCAATGCTGTGACTGACATTAGGACTAGATGCACTGATCAAATACCTGCTACCCTAGCAATGACCTATCAGTGGAAACTTGACCCTAGCTCTTTTAGTCACCAAAATTAATGACTTGTCATCTGTGTAACCATCCCCTGATGCCATCAGGAGCCAGGTCTTTGAGAACTCATCTGTGACTCTGGACATGGGCCACTGAATAATAACCCCTTATTTTATTTGCTACAAATTCTTGTTTGTGTCTTCTTTGGCTTTGATGCACGCAGGCAAACAGACCCCTTTAGTCGGTAACTTCTTGTTTCTACAAACCCCTTTTCTGACTGCCCCTGGGTTGGAACTAGAGGCTTTGGCGGGGGGGGGGGGGGTGTTGTTACACTATAGCATGTTCTTGAGAGAAATATTATTTTCTGTTAACTTTGCAACTGGCTTCTTTATTGTCTATATTTGACAAATGGCGAAGGAGATTTTAACTTTCTTAGTCCAAATTCATTTTTCCTTTCTCATGTGTTTCAGCAAAATTTTCCAAACTTCATTAGGAATAAAATGTTAAGTACATTTTATTGTTTGATTTAAGTACTTAATAGAGCGCTCCCTTTTCTGTTTTTTTGTTTTCTTTTTTTCGTGTGTGTGTGTGTGTGTGTGTGTGTGTGTGTGTAGTTAAAAATATGTTGGCTTAATGTTGTGGTTTCCCAGCTTATTTCCCTTCTCCAGTCAGATGTCTCAAAGATTCGTTGTCTCCTTTTCTTCATTTCTGTTGCCCCTGTGATGTACACACACACACCACACACACACACACACACACACACACACACACACACGCACACACGAATATTTAATTATTAGTTTACTAAAGCCCCTGTGGGGTTTTTGTGCACAGGTGGGGTCCCTAGGCCTGGCCAATGATCTGGCTGGTGGGGACGAGGGTGGAGGGGGAATGGGGGGGATGGCCGTGGGAGGTTGGCTGTGGGAGCACACTAACCACAAAGGGGCAGCTCCTGTGTTGAGTGTTTGTCTCCTGGTGGTCAGTGCACTTCATTGCAACTGGTTGACAGGTTGTTCTGGTCATAAGGTCACTTAGGTTTATATATATATATATATATATATATATATATATGTATATTGGACAATTATTCTCTAAATTTGAAGTGATAGAATTGTAAAGAGTTATGTAAATTTCTTACCCGATGAACTAATTATAAAGTAGACAAAAGACAGAGACCAAGAGTTTCCAAAAAAGTCAATTAATTGGGCAGAAGTTACCCTCTATTCATTGAGTGAAGATTCCAACTACTAGAGTTTAAAATGTTTGGATTTAGATTGTAAAAAAACAACAAACCCAAACCAAATCTGTTCTTTTCCTTTATAGCTACA